CAGAAAGTCGTCTAACCCGAGGTATGTCTCAGGTTTGAACACAAATGAATAAATCTGACTTACACCAAAAAGCTGTCTCTACTTTACGGGCTGTATACATTAGCAGAGTCAGATTTGTGCCAATTTGTGCAAAATTGCAAATGTTTTACAACAGTGCAATTGCACTTGGAGACCTTTAGTTGGCGCCAAAGCTCACCAAATGGAATTCCTACATAATGTTGCTTTAAAGGCTTTATATGTGATTTTTCACACTTAAATGTAATATAAATCAAGTATATCCTCTGAAAATAACTCTGTGAGTCATGACTGTCTACAATCATCCCACTGTCTGTGATGTTTTCAGAGTTTTCAGAGTCCTATCTTCAGTTTGTTTACATCGCCTGGACGGCCGGCTGACTCCTCCCCTCACATATAAAAGTTGTTTAATTGAGGGACTAGAGAAAAGAAGAATAACATACTGTACTCACTGCTTAACTGTGTTTCTAGATCACGCTCATTTCAGGTAAATTTACATGCAGTGTGAAGATATGAGCATAATAAAGATCGCTAGCATTAGCATGATAACGCAACAATGCAGCGCAAGTTGTTTTGGTTTCATGCTGGTGCTCAAGGGCGACATCTACTGGATTAAAAAATCACATATAAAGCCTTTAAAAGAAAGTGGTCAAGATAATTCAGTCAGGACCAAAAGTGCTGGCAAAATAAATCTGCACAACATTAAGGCCGTTAGTCTGTTTTGTTTCCTTCATGTTCTTGTAAATTCAAGGACATTTGGAAAAGAGAAAGTGTGTGCACTAACTGCTGGTGTGAGAGGGCGACATGATTGTGTTTCCCGGGCAGAGCCGAGGTTATTGCTCTTCTTAAGCTGAGTCTCCGAGGCCCTCCAGCAGAGCGTGTAGTAGCTGCCTTCAGTGCCCTTCAGCTCGATGCTCACACAGCTGAACGGAGTTTAAGACCATCTTCTCTTCTGGGGATTTCTGCAAGAAGCTACAGCACTTCTCTTCTTCCAGTTGTGACGGCAGACTGCCTTCTTTCTCTGGAGACACCATGTCGATGATGTCGGCTCAGTTGACTCCGCGTCTCAGATGGACGAGGTTTTGATATCATTGAGCTTTTATGATTTAGGCCTGCAGTGTTGCAGTTTGACCTGATTCTTTGTTTTTTTCCAAAATAAAGAGAAGGAGTGGGCTTTGAATGTTTGTCAGCATGAAACAGGCAGAGCGGAGGAGGGAAACACCCCGGACAGGTCAGCAAGACAACACACTGACATCCTCACCCAGAGGGAACGCATGTTTCTGGAATGTAACAAAAACTAAAATATCTGAACTGTTCAAAAAGTGTCAGGCACATCTTTCACCTTTCTTGTGCAACAATCACCAATAAATGGATATGTAGAAAATTAGTTTGAATTCTGTAGAAATGTTATACCAAGTTTTTCCCCCCAGCTGTATGAGTAATAGCAATCACTTACACTTGCTTATACCTAAAGGAGATCCGTTATACTCACCTTTAAAGGAATCCAGTAGATGTCGCCCTTGAGCACCAGCATGAAACCAAAATAAACTGCTGTTAGGCCACACCTCCTCCATACTGAAGCCTCCACTCTCCTCCAGAGACACACCTCCAACCCCCCTCCACACTCGCGTTTGCATGGAGTTATCAACTAGAACGCACCATATTTAAGCACCATACTATGCAATCACCTGCGTCCTGCATTGTTGTGTTAGCATGCTAATGTTAGCGCTCTTTAGTTAGCTTGTAGCTTCATATTTCATGTAAACTGACACAGAATGAGCGTGATCTAAAAACTCTTACTCAAATAATCAGTGAGTATGTTCTTCTTCTCTCTAGTTCTTGACTAAAACAGCTTTTATACACAAGGGGAGGAGCCGGCCGTCCCATCCATGTAAACACGGCTCTGACAACAACACAGCCAGTGGGACTCGAGCTTCTCACTCATTGTAGACAGTCATGACTCAGAGACACATTTACACAGGAGACACTGGATTTATGATTTATTTATGCAAAAAATTTGGTTCAGTTGTAGCTCAGTGGTTCAGTCTGTCGTCTCTTAATCGGTGGTCAGGGGTTCGATCCTGCAGCAACATGTCCGATGTGTCCTTTGGAAAGACACTTAACCCCAAGTTGCACCGCTGCTTTATCTGCGGCAGTCATATGAGGTGTTTTCAGTTCTGGGGACTTTTTGAAGTTCCGTGAGAACTACACGTCATGGGGACTTTTTTAGCTAGGGGATTGCTTTACCATGGTACCTTCTCTGAAGCAGGAGCTGAAAATGTTCCTCTAAACGGGTTCTAGGAAATAAAACAGTTCATAGCTCCTGAAGTGTCAATAAAAAATGGGGGAGGGTTCCAACAGTTCCTAGAAGTATGAAAAAGTTCCTGCGGTCTGAAAACACAGATTGTTTATTGATCTTGTTGGTGTATGTGCAGCGCTGTCTCCTCCCCTGCACTGAGTGTGTCTGTCAACCAGGTGTTGCCTTTGATTGATCAGCGCAACCAGAATGTCTGATTCCTGATTGGATCGAACCTGACATCACAGCTTTTCAACTCTCGCCCCCAACTGAACCAGTATTAGTGTGTGAATCCCCCTTTGATCTCTGAATGGTGTAGCTCTGATATTTGAGGCTAACGTGTTCAGGAGCTCAGGTGAGAAGAACTCTGTCACTTGTCTGTTAAGGACGATTAGGGACTTAGTTATTTTTGTTATTTTGGCCATTTGCTCACCTCAGGAGACGATTAAACTGCTGCTTTAAATCTGAATTTGACAGGTGTTTCTGGCTTTCTTGGGAGTGGGACGAGTCGGGGGTTACTCATCATGTTGTGTGTAGGTTGGCCTGGACCGGGGACGTTCTGACATCTTTTTGATTTGTCTTTTGTTTGTCGTTATTTTACAGATCTGACACTTGACGTACCTCACAACATTTAGAAATAAAACAGCACAGACATAAAAAATAGTTTAATGATGAGGCCACCCTTCAAAGTCCGAACACCCCCTCCTCATATATATATTTATTTAGAAACAGGCCCAGAAAAAAACATCTGAGGGCGGGTTGTGTGAGATGTCTGTGCTGTGTGTGCGCAGAGGCAGCTGCTGTTTGAAGCAGCCACAGCAGCAGACGCACACACTGAGACAGAGTGTAGCTGGAGGGTCTCTTGTTGTTGTCCTGCCTTTGTTTGTTGCCCTCCTCCTGCTGTCTTCAGCTCCATAGGAGAGCGGAGCAGAGCTTAGAGAGCGCGCCTCGGAGCATCAATAATAGAGGCTCACTGCAATCGAGCTCAGAAAGGAGCAAGGCAGCGGGACAACTTAATACCATTCAGCCACTAATTAACTAATTGGAGGAGGAAAAGTCTGTAAATCTGGAAGTACAAATAACCCGATGATGGCTCTTTGTGTGTGTGTGTACAGAAAGTGCTCATCCGTTTTAAAATGAGCCGGAAAATCAAGAGTACAGCGAGTGTGAAGTCTCGGGCTCAGCCCTCATATTTGTCAATGAGATCAATGCTCTCTTATTACTGACAGCAACAAGAGCCCATAAAGAGCCGATTTATTGTCTCTTTAACTCTTTTATTTGTCCTCGAGGCTGTAGGGTGGCGAGTCAGGCGCACGAGGTCAATCACATGAAAGCTGGAAAGTGAGACGTAAAACGCACATTCATGAGGAAGCTCGGGACGTCACAGAGGAGAGAGAGGGCAAAAAAAAAGAAGATATAGAGCCGGAGGAGCTTCAGCCCAAAGAAATGGACTCCATTTTTTTGTGAGTCCTCCTCTCTCCAGCTGTCAGCTCGCTCCCTGTCCCATGGGGGGTTGCCACGGTGACAGGAGGCCACATGTCTTGGGGGCGTCGTTTTGGTCAAAGGACCCCATTGTTCTTGTGTTAAGCCGTCTTCACTGTGCCCGTCTGCCAGGGGCTTCAGCTTCACACCCCTCTCTCTTTCTGACACACACACACACACACACACACACACACACACACACACACACACACACACACACACACACACACACACACACACACACACACACACACACACACACACACACACACACACACACACACACACACACACACACACACACACACACACACACACACACAAACTCCTCTCCCGCTCTCTTCTGAGTCGCAGATACGCACACCTCCCCACCCACCCGCTTGTATAGAGGTGCAGCAGTTTGTCTGTACACCCACACACACTAAAAACAGCACAAGGCCGCTCACAAGTTTGAAAATAAGACACGCTCATACACATGATGCCAGGGAAACACACACACGACTTGAGTGATTATTTTCCAGCAGCTACAGCAAACAAAAACCCCTTGTTGTGAATGAAAGGAGCATCAACTTTTTAATTCACTTTTCTAACGATAGCATCAGCTCCCTTGACTTATTTCATCTCCTCAGGGGAGTTTCACAAGTTGACAGATTTTTAACGAGCGGCTGCAGTTGCTCAGCTCGACCACAAGATGGCACTGTCGCCCCACTGGGTCCAGTATGGAGCTGTGTTATTAGTGGCAGAATCATTCTGTCCATTTGTCTTCCAGCGAGAGATACAGTAGAGGAGACCTTGGCACTCGCTGCGAGCCAGAACCCTCCAGTGTCCTTCAGCCAAGTGACTGTGACTCGATGTAAAAGGAGGGGAGTCAATTACCCTGTGATGGATAGATTACAGTCGTGCATCATTCTGGGAGCCAATGCTCCGATGTGAACTGAATTTTGAAACTCAATTTGTTACGGCTCTCGCCGTCGCCTCCTGACAGATGGATCGAGGCAGCGCCGAGGAGCTCATTTGAATCCGTCACTGCTTTGCAATCCGAGGTTAGAGGTCAATTTACTTGCAGAGATTTAACTGTGCTCCAAATGGAGATCAGAATGGAAATTTATGTAGCGATGCATTCAGTTATGACTAAAGGTCCGGGGGTGATGCAAATTGGAAAGATGCCGTATGTGAAGTGAAGTGACCACACAGCTGGAACTCCATATATTTGGAGGGGATAGAGTTTTTATTGACTGGATGAGTTGAAATCATCTGGTTAAATGAACACAAGTTGATCTAATGAAGAGCGTCAACATGCAACCAAGGTGTTATTATCAGAACTGGATTTCAGGACACTTTCAACTTTCAAGGATGGACAGAATATTAAAAACACTTCATTAAACGCTCACACAGTCTAATGATACACAGACCTCTCCTGGACATTTTCCTGAGTAGCAGCTGTTTTCACATCTTCACTCTGGAAGGAGAAAGTCAGAGTGAAAAATTCGGCTGTTTGCGTTTATATCAAATATCAGGAGTTTTTCAGGCGATTTCATGTGGAGACACAAACAGCCAAACTGTTCATTCTGACCTGGACTTTTGCCAGCTAGCTGTCTAATTAAGTTTCTGCACAAAGTTGGGATGAGCCGATGTGAGGAAGCTTCCCCGTGGGTGAGTGGTAAGGCGTGACTCTGACCCACAACCTGAGCGATCCTTGCCGCTTCACGGTCTTCTCTGCCCCGCCACCAAGTTCTGTTGATACTGTGAATATGTTGAAATTAAGGCAAAAATCTTCATGGTAGTGTTTAACTTGGTCCACCATTTGTCCTTCTTTATACATCACGTCCTGCCTCTGCCCCCCACAGTGAGATGTATGCAGCTCGGGAACACTTCAGGAGCAGAGGGTCAGACATTTCTAAGGTGTGAAAACAGCTTATGAGAACAAACAGAACTGTTGGAGCTACTATTTGATTATGGCAGCCACCTCCTCAGTCCTGCCTGGAAGACGGTGAACGGCCATCTTCATCCATCCACACAGAGCAGATATTGACTGTAGGATGTTGATCCGGTGACTTTGGAGAGTGAGACTGAAGACGCTCTGTGATCACCAGCTGAGTGGTTGGGTATTGATCAGGAGGTGGTCAGCGGAGATGATTAGGCTCTCAGCGTATTGATCGACTTTGGTTAATGGAGGGAAACTGGCTACAAATGACCCGGCAGGCTCTGATAATTCACAGGGAGCAGACGCATCGCACATAAAACAATCAGCCCGTCGTTTTGGAAAAATCATTGCTTTTTAATTGTAAAATAACAGTGTAGGTACAAGTTCAAAGTGTCACATGTTGGTCATCTTTAAGTCTCACGACACATTCTCCAGCGTCTCCTCCGGGGCTGAAGGCTGGACAGGTAGAGCAGCACTGAGCCGGCGCCCCCGCGTCCTCCTGCGGGACTCTTTAGAGAACTCCGGGGAAGTCCAGGGCTGCCAGGCGAGACCTGCACTGCTGCTGGTGTTTTGGTTCCTCAGGCTGCGGCGGACTGAACGCTGCCCTCTAGTGACCACGGGTTTGAACACATCTTCAAAGTTGAAGTCAGCCTGCCAGGGGGCTAGCTCAAAGTTGACTGCTTCTCCTTCCTCCTGGCTGTCAGAACTCGCTCTGCCTTTGTTCTCCTCCATGGTTGCCGCTGCGTCTCCCTGCTCTGACTCTGACTCCTGCACGTCATGGTTCATTTGCTGCTCGTCTACCTGGATCACCTGCTCCTGTAGGACTGAGCCATATAAGGAGCTCCTTCTGCCCCGCTTGTATTTTCTTAGGGTTATTTCTGGCGGCAGACTGAGATCTGAATTGAAACACTCCAGTTTATTATCCGAGTCTGTGCAAGTTGTATCTGCAGAGTTCTGGGTGTAAAGTTCATCGTCGGCTCCTCCCTGCTCGTGCACAGTCTGACCCTGTGGGGTTTCTTCGAGCTTTGTAGTGGTTTGGTCTTCACAGTGCTCCGCTGTCTTTCTTCCAGTCTGGCTCTGAGTCTCCTCAGTGAGCAGGATCTCATCAGCAGCACTCACATTCTTCATCTTTTTTCCTCTCCCTTTGCCCCTCGTCCCCGACAGCCTCCTGCCCCTGCATGTGGCGCTAACTTTCCCGGAGTCTGAAGATGTGAAGGACTCTTCTGAGGGAGTTTCCGAGGTGGTTGTGACAGTGAGGTCCCCGATAGCTTGACTGTCGTCCGCCACCTCAGCGTTGATGTTTGTCTCATCGTTTGGTGCTGTTTGGAGAAAGGAGGAGCACAGTTTCATTTCTATAAATCACTAACGGCCACCATTATTCTTCAGGAAACAGAAATGTGTTGATCTAGAGCTGTCTGCATGTTTTACCTGTGGTTGGAGTCTGCTGTGCTGCTGGTGACTTGCTGATGGAGGACAACGACTCGGTGATGGGGCTCAGGTTGGGGTCCTTGGAGGCGTATGCTCGAGAGCCGTACAAGGAGCGGTCCACGTCCTTGTTCCACCGACGACCTGATGCAGAGCTCACCTATGGAAAAACAATCTGTATTATACTGTTATACAAGTGTTGAGTGATAATTCAGAATGCCTTTTTTTTAAAGGAGAGAGAGAGAGAGAGAGAGAGAGAGAGAGAGAGAGAGAGAGAGAGAGAGGGGAATGACATACAGACCGTCCACTTAGAGGACTACAGCACTAAACACTATGCTACCAGCGCCCCCTTTTAACATTTGTTTAGTGAAATTTTTCTAAATATTTTTCTGCTTTGTGAGACGCAGGTTCTCTCCAGGTACTCCGCCTTCCTCCCACAGTCCAAAGACATGCTCGTTAGGTTAACTGCTGACTCTAAAATGTCCGGAGGTGTGAATGTGAGTGAGGCTGGTTGTCTGTCTCTATATGTCAGCTCTGTGATTGACTGGTGGACAGTACAGGGTGTAACCCCGCCTCTTGTCCAATGACAGCTGGGATCGGCTCCAGCCCCCCTCTGCGACCCTTAACATGAAAAGCGATACGGATAATGGACGAATGTAAGACTCTGGGGAGTTTGACTCTTCAAAACAAACATTTTCAGTAGGTAGCAAGTTATGTTTTCTTCTGGCATGTCACATCTTTTCAGCCTTTTGTCTCCTCTGTCCCAACTTTAAAATAAAACATTTTAAACATGTTGCTTTCATCAAATTCAAAATTGGGCAAAAACAATTACATTTCCCAGCTTCAACAATTTGAATATATCGTCCATTATATGGTCTATATATTGGGTTGCAGTTCTTTTTTCTTCAAACCATCACATTTTGTTTTTATGTCAATTTTGCACAGTGACCTACATTTTTGGAAACAGGGTTGTAGATGAGTTTGAGATTAAATCTGAGATGATCCTTTTTGTCTCCCCTTTGTAGCTCCTGCTTCAGAGTACGTACCATGGTGGTGCGAATGCAGACAGAGAAAAAGCATCACTGTATTATCCTTGATATTGAGGACCGCCGACACAGCAGCACATTTTGACAGCATTCGGGTGAAGAACTTAAACCTACACGGAGCGCTTCTTCAAGTAATCCAAAACAAATTCAACACTGACTTCCATTTAATGATTGTTCAAACAAGTTATTTTATGTTTAAAGTAACTCTGACCCCTAGTGTTTAAAATGGGTACTGCAGTCCACATTCAAAACATTATAGAGAGCTGTCTCCCCCCCCCCCCTCCTCTCTAGAGTCGATGCTCACACAAGTCACCATGCGGTGAACTCTGAAGCTTCAGTGTTTATCCAGCTCTGCATGGGTCTGTAAACCTTTCTGTGTTCTAACCTCTCTCCATTTTTCAAAAGCATCTCCAATATTGATCCTAGTTTGAGCACGTTTCTGCTCGTGGAGCTTATTAGAAACATGCAGAGGCTTTTTAGGTCGGGTACAATCACTTCTATCTGAACCACTTCTCTTGACCGCTTCCATCGCTGCAACACCTGTTGACCTGATAACTGCTCTCATATCTGACAAACAGAGGGGCGTCCAAAACGGCCGTGTGGGTGTGTCTTAAAACCACCTACCTTCTCTGGTCCAAACAAATCCAGAGCATTCAGGAGCAGAATCTAAAGTTAGAAGGAGGACATACTGGCTGCTGCATTGTTGTCAGAGAAGCCAGCACTTTAACATAGCATGTTTCCTTAATGTCTGATCAGATAGTAAGATACCTTTATCATTTCACTCTCTACACATCTCACTGATTGGACCTTTAAGAAACTGATTTGTAGTTTTGTCTTCTGGCTTTGTGGTTTAGTTTTGGAGCAGTGATAGATCAGCAAGGTAAGTCAGAGAGTCTAAAAAGTCACAGTTTGTTTTGGTTTTTATTCACTAAATTTAGAATATCTCCTACTTTCTTTTAAAAACATGTGAATTCTTTTAATATTTCATGACGTTTTCTTTAGTTGTCACACTGTGTTCAGCGTGCACAGCTGCATAAAAACAGAAACAGTTCTTCTGTAGCCCCGTGGTCGGGTTGTGCAGCTGCCTGCAGATCCTTCAGTGAAGAGGTGTAAAGAGAAATCAAACGAGCAGACTCAAGCAGCTCACCTTCATCTTCCCAGAGGCCGACTTGGCAGCCGAGCGTGTCGACCTCTTCACAGGTTCGCCTTCCTCCGGCTGCTGAGGGAACAGAGTTGGCATGAGGATTCATTATATAGACTGTCTCTCTCAAGCACATTAAGTGGATAGCCTCCGACGTGATTAAGTTCACATCCAGTGGAATTAAACAGTAGATTAGATGGGAGCATGTTATGACCCCTGAATTATTAAAAAGACAATCTGGTCTAGTACACAGAGCTTTTCTACAAGTGAGATCAAGCTCAAAGCAGCGCTCGGTTATGGCAGACCTTTCTTTTTCGGCTGCCGGAGCGAGCAGGAGATTCACACTTTGGTCCCAGCTGCTGTAGAAGAAATTCACAAGTTTAAGGTGAATGAAGTGGAACATTTACATTTAACGTGTTCTCGTGCCCTCACAATAGATATGAGAGAAAGTAGATTTAAGATTTGATTTCTGCAGACCTTTCTCTTTCTGCTTTTGGATTCAACAACTGTAACGACGGCGTCCTGTTGCTTCTCCTTCTCTGGCAGGGATGTAAACTCATCGAGGTAATCCAGCCAGGAGGCTGCGCTGGGTTCAGGGTCAGACGCTGAAGAAAAACAAACATTACACATTAGATGAAAACTCTTTGACTCTTTGTGCGCTGTACAAAAAGTTACCAACGGTCAGCTAAGGCCACTTTAAAACAAGATTGATCCACTGTCAACTGACACAACCATTTGTGTTTGCAGATACGTTCTGCATTCGGACAAAGTTTTGTCCACTGAAACGGCTTAACGCTGTAGTACACATGCCAGGCCAGTAGTTGGCGGTGTGACTTTATAATGAAAAAATACATGCATGAGCACATACTCTTCCTGCTACAGATCGGAGAGGTGTACAAAAATGGCGAGCAGCTATTGACCTTTTGGCTGCCCTTCATCGGTGTATAGGTGGATTTAGTATTTGGTGCTTGTTAGTAATGTGTAGCCGCTGAAAGTGAGGGTGCAGGTGCAAAAAACCGCCCCCAAAAGATGTGCTTATAATCACCATCGTCAGGGACGGAGCCAGGATTTTCTCTCCAGCTGCTGAGGGAGAGCGTGACTAATATGTTGGGGTGCTATTCCTTTTACAGTTTATTTCAAAAGAAAACGATACTACCAAAATATGTGAGGGGGCTAAACCAGGGCTAGACAGATTTGTGTTGGGGCTATAGCGCATCCTAGCACCGGTGCAGTGCCGTGCTTGACCATTGTGCATTTGTTTTTTTTTGTACCAGGCTGTAAACATGTTCGTTTCTTCAGTAAAATCAGAACTGCAGGATTTTGCAGCTGAAGCTATCAGTATCAACAACTAATAACACCACAGAATGAGGGGGGACGGGACAAGTTGTGTGTATTTAGAGAGGAGAGGGTTAGGGTTAGTGTAGGGTTTCCTCTAATCGCTTGACACACGTGATGTGACAGGAGACAGAGAAGGTCAAGAACAGGAGGAGTAATGTCATGAAGGTAACCGTTAATTAAAGTACAAATGGAAAATTGTGAAGGGAGCGGCTCACCTGGAAGGACCTGAGGAAGACTCTCCTCATGGAACGCATTGTTTAAATTCAACGGCTGGACGTCCCATGAGCAATCTGCAAAAGTAACAAACGGAAGAAGTGTTTTTAGTTTTACAGTTTTTTTCTAATGGAGACAAAAAGATAGAAACCCTCTCAGCGTGCCACTACTGTGATCACCGACCTGTATCAGCCATCACAGCGGAGTCCACTTCCACCTGAGAAGAAAAAACAACCTCAGAAAAGTAAATAAAGAAAAATAATCATAATTACGATGACTAAACAGGAAGAAGGATCAGATCTGTGAAGGATCTCAGTCAAAGAATAAACCACAAGGTCATCTAACAACTTACAGAAAATAAAAAGTAGTACCGTATTTTCCGCACTATAAGGCGCACCGGAGTATAAGCCGCAGCAGCTAAATTGAATGATGTGTACATATATAAGCCGCACTGGACTATAAGCCGCAGGTGTTTTAATGTTTAATTACCATATGTAAGGGTTCGTGCACAGAGGGGATTGTCAGGAAAGAGATGGCTGCTTGAGGAAGCTCCCATTTAGCTGCATCATCTGCATTTCTACGTTTGTTTTCCATAATGAGGGTTTGTGCATGAAAACTTCCTTTGCACAAACTGTCTCGCTCTCGTAATGTCTGTCTGTCTTGCTCTCGTTCTGTCTCTCGGTTCCACTTTTACTTTTGCGCGCTACCTGTCTCACTCTTTTCCGGCCTCCAGCTTTTCCTGCTGGAGCCCGCCGCTTAAAGGTGGTGGTGGACTGTAACCTGTAAAATCCATAGATTTAGGAGGTCCCCTAGTGGCCGTTAGCTGTAAAAATCCATAGATTAGCCGCACCGTTATATAAGCCGCAGGGTCGAAAAATGGGAAAAAAGGCGCAGCTTATAGTCCGAAAATTACAGTAGTTGTTTGAGGAAATCTTTGAGGTGGTTTGAATCTGATATTAATGTCAGTGTTTCCCACACGCAGAGGAAAGGTGCAACAATTCTCAATATAATATTAAACCGTTCAGTACGCCGTCCACGGTTCAATATCTGCTTGTAAGTTACGCTTACGTACGAGCATCCATAAAAGTATTTCTCTCTGAATTGGCTCTGTTTGTGTGTGCCTGTGAGTCCATGCGCTGGGATATGGAAACCCCTCCCCCACCGAGTTAATATCCTGACAACACTACACACAAGACGAGGCTGCAGGATGAGGAAACACTGCCATCTTTCAAATCTGTGGTATGAAGACGCGTCAGTTTCAGCGTTAAGTCGGCTATAACAAAAAGGAACTTGAGAGAATGGTAAACAAAAAAGGGACTGTCTGCAAACATGGTTTTACACATTTCAGAGTTACAGAGTTTGGCTAGCAGGATTAGCAGGCTGTCCTGCCGCCATCAGCTGATCCCTGAATGATGGAGACAGAGAAGCAGCTTTTAAAACAAAGCTACCCAACACGATAAAGTGTCAACGCTTTACGACCCATGTCTGTGTAAAAGTCTGCAAAATTATACAAAAATGTTTTTTAAAGACTGAAATGTCAATTTCACTCAGACTTTACACCAAACACCAGGAATGTGTAAAAATAAAAATGGGAAAAAACACCCACCCCCAACAGCCCAACGCATAATAAATCAGAGGGATGTGAAATATTCTTGATGAGTTTCAAGTTTCTTATCTACCTTTCCATCCTTGTCTTCACCGTCCTCCCCCACAGTCGGTGTTCTGCGGTTGCGAGGTATTGCAAGTGTCGGTGAGGCTCCAAACGTGGTGGGGCTGCTGAAGTCCGACTGAGCTTTCTGTGTTTGGGATTCACTTCCTTGTGGCGTCTTCAGCAGCGAGCGCAGCTGTAGAGCGCCCCCTGGTGTCTGCGCTCGGGCAGGCGTGGCCCCTTTCTGAAGTGGGGTGCTGGGAGGAAGGTTCTTGTCAAAGAACTCAGGAGAGAGCGGCCCGCCAAAGTGAACCTTCTTTTTATTTTTGATGGTGGACGTGCCCCAAGAGTTGCCCTCTCCTGCAATTACAGTAAAAGCCTTTGATGCACAAATGACCTTTAACCCTTTGTTTCCCTTATTGAACAACCAATGAAAAGACAGGAAGTGAATCTCTTAGATCATACGCATGAATTATAGTCAATCAACAGAAATTTAAAGGAAGAATGTGCAACATGTTACATAAATATCTCATAAATCCAGTCTATCCTGTGTAAATGTGTCTCTGAGTCATGACTGTCTACAATGAGTGAGAAGCTCGAGTCCCACTGGCTGTGTTGTTGTCAGAACCGTGTTTACATGGACGGAGCGGCCGGCTCCTCCCCTTGTGTATAAAAGCTGTTTTAGTCAAGGACTAAAGAAAATATCTAGTTCTAATTCATAACTCCATGCTGGAAATCCTGTCTCAGTCTAACTTTCAGTCAACCTAATGACAGGCTAACTTACATCGCGCCAACCGGTCAATCATGTCAGCTACACGCCTAACTATGCATAACTTGTATCGTTCGCTTTAAGATGTACATTTTTGCTGTAAAAAAAAGCTTCTTTTTTTTAAAAATGTGGAGTGTATGTGACACACCACTTCTGCAGCCAGCCTCTAGTGGACACTCGATGAACTGCAGGATTTTAACACTTATTCATCAGCTTCATTTTTCAACACCGGAGGTTGCTGCTTGGTAACACGGCCTGTGGCACAGTAATCTTTTTTGTTTTTTAAGATTTATTTTGGATCTTTTTGTGCCTTTTCTTGGGAGAGACAGGACAGTGGATGGAGTTGAAAAATCAGGGTGAGAGAGCGAGTGTGGAGGACGACATGAGGGACAAGAACAACAAGTTGGATTCAAACCCGGGCCGTCTGCTTCGAGGACTACAGCAACTGTACATAGGCCGCTCGAACTAACCACTCTGCCGCCAGCGCAACCACATTAATCGTTAAATCTTAATTATTTTCTTTTCATGATCGTGGGAAGCCAAAATCGTAATTTAAATTGAAACTCCATGAATTGCCCAGCCATGGCATCAGGACCTTTAAGTGATGGGGATGTCAACATTATAATACTGTTTCACATCGATCGGATATTTTCAGTACCAACATTTCCTTATAACCACTAAAGCTGTCTTTTAAGCGTGAACACACAGTGTCCTCCAGCACTGAAATGACAAATGCTTTCAGTGAGCATGAATACTCTCTCTCTAAATACAACCCTGACCGTCTCCCGGTATGCAGCCAGGATACAGTGCATCAAGCTCAGCTCTATAAACAAAGCCTCAAAGGCAAAGCTAAGCGAAGATAAAAGAGCCGTTATTGTTGCATGACCGCTGCGAACAGTGTGTGTTTACCTGTGGGCTTCATCTCCAGCAGAGGAGGGAGGGAGGGGATGTGGAGGGAGGATGCCGGCCAGGCTGGAGAAGCGGCCGTGGGATCATCGGGTGGTGGATGGCGGGGGCTTTGTAGTTCAAAGACGGCGTGCTGTTTAGAGAGAATACATGAGAACCTGTTATTTTGGACGGCAGTTCAAGAAGCTTCAGACAACAAGAGGTTTCATATCTGACATTAGTATGCGTCTTTGTACACACATGTCTGGAAGAACAGAGTGTGAAGCGTTATTCAAAAGTACGATTTGAACATTTTCAGTGCCGATGGTTTTGAACAGCAGCTGTCAGCACTGAGATAATTGGAGTTTACTGTCTGTTCTGTCTCTATGACAACAGTCTTATTTCAACTTTTCAGAAAAGGCGCTGTTGACATCACCGGCGCTCTTTTCCAAATACAAATCATGCAGTAAAAAGCAACAGAGCGGTGTCCGTCATACAGCGGCCGTTGTCATCAGACTGTTGTCATGGAGACAGGACGGACATGCGGTGCTTTTCTTCTCAGAGCATCATGCTTCACGCAGGCGCTACCGAGTGCACAGCGAGCGCTTTTCTGCCCAGAAATAAATGGAACTTATTTTCACAGATCGTTATACAACCAGTTTGCTCCTTGCTAACTTTTAAGTCGGTTGTTTGGTACGTGACCTAGTAAGTCAACGGGAAGAAGGTCGGATAGTTTGTAGCTAACGGAGCAGAGTTGGTCAAAGTTCTGTCAATTAACGGATTCTCCTGTGGACAAAGACAGTAGTCCAATTAAATGTCATAACACGCTATAATCATAGCTTGACATAATGTGTGTGTAAACGTACTGACAGTACAAGGACACAAGTGTCCTTGAGAGTCAGTCCTAACTTGTGTGTGTGTATGTGTGTGTGTTGCCGTCTGGATTAAGACCTGACGGTTCATCGGAGGGAAACATGCGTCGGCCTCTTCCACTGTCCCGCCGTCACTCAGCGGTCCTTCTGTCACAACCTGTGTCTCTGCTATTTCTTCCTCCTGTGGATATGAAAAAGGAAAATTCCCACTGCTTCAATCCGATCGCACACACACCACACCAAAACAGCAAGAACACAAATACAACGATACAGGAAACAAAACTTTACAAAACTTTATTTTTTAAGATTAAAAACTTCACAGTTGACGATACACCTCAAGTGTTTCAAGTAGAAACGAGAGGAGTTCAAAGACAAAAAAAAGATGCACAGATAAATAAATAAAACCCAATAAACAACTCTTGAATCAAGCTCGGGTTGGCTTGGAAGTGCTTGTTTTTCCCTTTTGGGATACGTGTAGTCAAAACATCTCGTGTACCACGGAGCTGTAGCATCCATAGAGGAGTTAAAAATAATCAGCAGGTTCAATGGACGCCAAGAACTGAGAGGTAAAACCTTTTAGTTAAATTATTCACAGCTGTCAAGGAAGAGCATGCTCAGAGTGAGTGTACCTGTCGCTCCTTCAGACTGAAGTGGAGGGTAGGAGCGCTGGCCTCTCTAATCTCCAGCTCACAGCTTTCCAGGGGGCCCAGGCGCCTCCTCTTGCTGGGTGTCACCGTAGGTGGGTTGTTCTCTTTCTCTCCATCACTGCTGTTCCCATCTGGGGAGGAGGAGGGGGGGGGGGAACAGGAGTGTTATGTAAAACATAGAAAAACAAACGGGACTTGGAGACACTGCAGCTGAATTAAAATAGACTTGTGGGGTATTAAATAAACATATCGTACAGAAGCAGCTTGAAAACAACACTTCAAGTGTCCCATTTAAGATGATGACCAATTTGAGGAACAGTGAGTGCCGCGTGACGTCGTCAGAGTCGGGCTTAAGACGCATTAATCTGCTGCGTTTTGAACACTGCCTCCAGACATCATAAAGAAATCCTACTGGCTCGGATCCTCGCAGGGAAACGAAAACCATTAATCCTGTGGCAATAAGGAGGCCGCCTCACCAGACAGATAATCTCTTGTCTTGATGCATCCTCCAGTGTTGCTGTCCTGCGTTGGCATCGGATCACAGCCCTCGCTCTCCGCCACATCCATCAGGTTCTGGAAGGAGGCCATCTTCTGCCTCAGCGTGGAGGCGACCCGGGGAAGGAAGGGGCTACTTTTGACGAGCTGAGAGTTCAGACAGCGGAAAAACAAACATATCTGCTCAGTGATGCAGCTTGACAGGACATAGACTTCTTAAAATCACTCGAGTGGTATTACTGAGAGACAGCACATCTATCTAACGCAATACAGGGACATCAGGGATTGCTGAGCTGGGCATTTTCTGAAGGCTACATCACAATAAGTGTTCCGCTAGTATTCTGTCATTATATTGATTTTAGAGTAATATAAAACGTTCTATCACACCCTAACTGGATTCATTTTGTATCGAACTTACCTGTAGATTTGAGTGTTCAATGCGTTCCCGTTGGATAAAGGTACCCAACATCCACAGAAACCTCTTAAACCACCTTTGTAGCATGGCGGACCTTTCCACTGGGCAGTACAACCTCACTCGGTTGTAAACATGCAGAGTTTGTTGTGCAGAGTGAAAGTTGTGCTTAGAGCTGACTCATACTGATGGCTTAAGCTGTCTGGTGCCCACCTCTTATCTGTCATTGGTCATAAACATGCTATCAGAAGCAATGGGGGGGTACAGATAAGAGTGTTGTGGAAGGGGTGAATGTGCGATCCAGTAGTTGTCGCCCTTCAGCATGATACCAAAACAAACTGCTGTCTGCCATACTGAAGCCTCCGCTCTCCTACAGCAACACACCTCTCTGTTTAGTGCAAGTAGCGGACAAAACAGTCCTTGGCTTGAGCTGCCTGTGGCCTGTATTGTTGTGTTTGCAGGCTAATGTTGGCGCTCTTTCGTTAGCTTGTAGCTTCATATTTCACATAAATTGACAAAAAATGACCGCGATCTAAAACACTTACTGATAATCAGTGAGTATGTTCTTCTTCTTCTCTCTAGTCCTTGACTAAAACAACTTTTATACACAAGGGGAGGAGCCGGCCGTCCCGTCCATGTAAACACGGCTCTAACAACAACACAGCCAGCGGGACTCGAGCTTCTCACTCATTGTAGACAGTCATGACTCAGAGACACATTTACACAGGACAGACTGGATGTATGATTTATTTATGTATTAAATGTTGCACATTCTTCCTCTAAGAGTTTATAAGCTAGGACAACATAACAGTACAGGAACAGTTGAAATAAAAACGATTTAGACGATGTCACTGACAGCTAGGAGAGCCTGAGGGTCTGAGGCAGCGCAGCAGAGCGGTGAGGTATTTAATCATATGGATTTAAGATAAATGTATAATATAAAAGGAATGTGTGTGTGTTTCTCCACCGACCATGACTGTGAATCTAGGCCACTGTGGTGCTGTGTTAAGGAACAGTGCAGACGCACTAAAACATGTAAAATATTTTAGTCTGGTGAATAAATATGGACAGCCAAGAAGCGGATTAGACTTCAGACGTGAAGTCATTGACGTTGTTGTCCTGAAAACAGAATATGCACCCACTGATGTTACCTTAAAGAAATACAGTAACCTCTCCTAGAACCTTCTCAGGGTTACACGGTGTGTTTGGTCTTTGCTAATCTAAAGCCCCGTTTCCACCAAGCGGTTCAGTTTAGTTCAGTTCTGTACGGTACTCATTTAATGTCGTCTCCTATGACAAAAGTCAGTCCTGTCCTACTTTTTTGCCACCCTTCTGTTGGGGTACCAAGCATACCAATCAGAACCTTAAGGGTGGAGCTAGACACACTGCTGTCCGTTGATTGGTCGAAAGAATCTTCACTTCCTGTGCAACAGCGGTAATAAAGGACAAATACAAAATGCACCATGTTCAAATATCTTGCGGATTTTGGATACTCATTTCAAGGCGGTTTTTCTTTTATGCCATCACTGTCAGTGCGTAGATCCGCCGAAGATGCAGACCTTCTTGGAATCATTGATTTTTGTTTATTGTGTCACGTTCTTCTTCTTTGTTGAATTTATTTGCGGTCTACACTTTGTCACGCCGCTGTGATTTAGTGATGTATAAGGGTTGGTTGGCTGTGGAAACGTGGGCAAGATCAGGGTTTACTGTCCAAACTGTACTGCACCAAACCGACCAAAACGCCCCTGTGATGTTTGGCCTTCAATCTGGAGGTTATGGAGGGGTAGTGGAGGGACGAAGTGACCCCCCTCCCCTCTGTACCATCTTCAGAGGTAGTAACAGAGGTGGTACGGTTTCAGTGGAGCCAGCGGGTGAGTGCAGCGCTTATGTGTGTGTGTGTGCATCTCTGATGTGTGTATGTGAAGCTCCAGCTGTGCTGTGATTCCGCAACACCAAAACGCAATGTGAACTCACACACAAGTATTACGCCGCTGTGAAATCAATATGAATGTACACAGACGTGATGAGCTTAGTTACAGCACTTTTGCCGGAGAAGCAGACCAATAAGAGCGGAGGTATGACACTTGGAGGACCGTATTATTAGACGTTTCTAAGCTTTTTTATATGTTCAAATCAGGACCTGATCTTTCCCTTGTCAAAGGGTGACTGTGAGGTGTTGATATGTTTGGATTACCTTGTGTATTCACTTTTAGTCGTACTAATGAAATAAAAAAAGTAAATCTAAGAACATTCTTCTGACCTTCTACTACTCCTTCATTGAGAGCATTATTACTTTTTCTATAAACTGCTGGTTCCACTCCACCACCCTCCAGAACAGAAACCGCCTGCCGAGCACGGACACAATCTGCTCTAAGATCATTGGACTGCCTGTAAGGACTTTGACATCGATCTATGAGCAACAGACAATCAGGCTAGCAGGTCGGATCATGCAGGACCCATCACATGCTCTCTTCCCAGCGTTTGAGTGGCTCCCCTCAGGACGCCGGCTTCGCTGTCCCTGCTGCAGGACACAGAGGAGAAGAGCAACCTTTGTTCCCAGGGCTGTCCAGCTCCACAACTCCTTAATGCGGTGTCTCTGTCGCATTTATTTACACGGGACAGGTGACCAGTCTTGAATATTCCACAAGGGGAAAAAATCCCCTTGAAGCTTTGGTGAGCCGCATTCATTCTGTCACACAAATGACAGCGTCACAGCGGGGGCGCCTTGTTCTTCTGTTCTGCTCTGTTCACTCGCTGCATTAAAAGTGCTGTTGATGAAAGAAGTGTCCGTCTACACTAACAGGTCCTAACTTTGATTGGTCGGCTGATCGCAGCTGAACACAGCAGCTCAGTGCTCCACGTAAGGTCTGTACCTGGACAGGATAACAGTGACCACGCAAGCGACTGTGCTGCACATCAGTTCAATAAATCAGAAGTGAAAACCTGTCGTCCCTTGGGTTAGAACATTTTGATTTCACTGAGGTGGATGTGAAGCTTCACGGCAGGTAGTTTTGTGAACAAAAAAATATATATTTATTTTTTATTATCATCAAACATGAGTTGCAGCCTGAATTGACGCCATTTTAATATTCACAGTTACCGTAAAATCCTTGTGCAGCTAGACTGGTTCTGAGTCGCAGTACAAAATAACCTGGGATGAATGTTCAATTGTGTCAGCTCGCGTGCAGTGTGTGATAGTGGTGGCTGCACTTGTGACAAAGACGATGCGTGTGTTAGCATTTTATACTGTTGTATTGGTTGCTCCGGTGTATAGGACACAGCTAACTTTCTGGATGCAAAAATAAGTATTTGAAGTGAGTCTAATGTTCAGGATTTTGTGCTGGATTCGATGATTGAATTTGGTCACAAATGAGCTGTAGTCTGTTGACAGTGTAAACATCTGTATATATCTGCAACACAGCCATTTATGTTAAGCATGCCTTATTTGCGGTATCAGGACAATGTCTGCTTCAGTGTTGGTCGTAGAGAACGTAACAAAACCCCAGCTGTTATCTGAATACTCTCTCATAAGCTGCACAAAACTCCTGAAGTATTCAGAGTAATGTGTATAGCATGTGTGAACGCAAAGAGACACAATTTTTACTCTGACTTCACCCGAGTGTCTCCTCTCAGCCTCTTTTTCTGCAGAAAGTCAGAGTGATCTGATGTGAGAACACAGCAGGATATAATCTGGAGCCAGTGGGAGGTGGTGGTGACGTTTATTCCCTGTGATCGCTGCACAACCATAGACTGTCTGCACGCCACCTCTACCATCTCTGTGCTCTAATGAACCTGCTGCTGCATGTTTATTGTTCTCCAGTATGTTCTTCTCCACTCTATAGTTCAACTACACGTAGCATTGATAGACAGACACATATTCTCATTATAGCATCATATAACGCTCCTACCCCCTCCTCCCGTCTGACCTGGATACTCCTCCCGCTGTGAGGTGCATGTGTGAACAACCAGATCAGGAGGATTTAAGGGGGGCACTCCTCCTGCGAGTGCATGTGTGAAAAAGATTTTACCCCCAAAAAATGTGACATGGTGCAACACAGACTGAAGAAAGTTTGAGAAAAAAAACAAAAACTCACGTCTGGAGTTTTGAGGGCTGGTAGAGTCTTCATTTTCTGCTGAGCCATGAAGCGAATGAGGGAGTTTGTCTCTGGGGAACCCCGGACTCCAATGCTTGACCTCCGTCTGGCCTTTATTTGTGCCAGACGAGACTTATCTAAACGAGGGAGACGAGTGCAATGTGAGGAAAATCAAAACTTACCCTTGATGTTTTAATCTCTGGTTTTTGCATTTCTTAATCTTTTGATCACAAATGAATCTTAATGTGGTTTAATCCTCCCACACATTTCACATTAGCTAATTTAACCACTATCATTAATGAGGACAACAAACCCTTTAGTAGTCAAACAGTTTTGTAAATGGATTCTACCAGTTGAGCATAATAACATTTATATAGAGGACAGGACTTGTGGTGTCACTGTAAGGCTTTGAATATGTAACAGCAGTTTAACATCAAACCTTTCCCCTCACCTTTGCAGGTCGGCAGTGATGCTGGAGTAAAACTCTGAACAGAGATGCCGAACCGGCGAGGTGTGAGCTCAGAGAAATTCAGGGAGGCTGATTTTCCATTCATGATTTCAGAAGACTCCTCCTGTGAGGGGGAAAGAATCTCCTCCTTCTGCTCCTTCTCAGGGCCGGAAGTGTTCATCTCCACGGCGGCCATCTGCAGATACATTTGAACACAGTTTAAGATTCAGTTACCCCTGATCGACAGAAATATGAGCAGGGTCAATTGTAGATAACGTTGGACACTCAGGATGGATGACAACAGACGGCTGGAGAAGATGTTACACTACAATCTGACAATTGGGGAAATTTACAGTGTTACAGCAGCAAAGAGCAAAGATTGCAAACAAAAAGTGAACACAGTACAATTTAAATAAAAAAATAAAAATTAAGAATGTACAAAAAAAATAGATAGTAAAAAATAGATTTAAAAAAAATAAAAAATAGATTGACAAAAGTGTAGTCCGTAATATTCAGTGTAACACAGACATGCACACAGTGCACATAAAGTGTAACATGTTATTGCACAGTGGTTTGATAAACATAATATAACATTATTATTATAAAGTCAGAGTGAATTGTCCAGTTGTGTGTGTGTGTGTGTGTGTGTGTGTGTGTGTGTGTGTGTGTGTGTGTGTGTTGTGATCTAATGGGAGCAGGCTTGGTTAAACAGTCTGACTGCAGCAGGAAGGAAGGACCTGCACTATCTCTCCTTCTGACACCGCGGGTGGCAAAGCCTGCCGCTGAAGTAGCTGCCCAGAGCTGTTACAGTTCCATGCAGGGGGTGGGAAACGTTCTCCATCAGTGATGATAGCTTTGCCGTCATCCTTCTGTCTCCCACCACCTCAACAGGGTCCAGGGGGCAGCCCAGGACAGAGCTGGCCTTCTTCACCAGTTTGTTTAGTCTGTTCTTGTCTGCAGCCGTAGTGCTGCTGCTCCAGCAGACCACTCTGTACAGGATGGCTGATGCCACCACAGAGTCATAAAAAGTCCTCAGGAGTGCTCCCTGCAGAGAGTGTGGAGTCTCCTCAGCAGGTGAAGTCTGCTCTGGCCTTTCTTGTAGAGAGCTTGTGTGTTATCAGTCCAGCCCAGCTTATTGTTCTGGTGAACACCCAGGTACTTATAAGAGTCCACTATGTCAATGTCCTTTCCCTGGACGTTCACCGGTGTGGGAGAAGTGGGTCTGCGCCTGCGGAAGTCCACCACCAGCTCTTTGGTTTTGATCTGGAGGCAGTTCCACTGGCACCAATCCACAAAGTCCAGGTTGAGTTCTCTGTACTCCCCCTCGTCCCCATCAGTGATGAGGCTGACAATGGCAGAGTCAACAGAAAACTTCTGCAGGTGACAGTCCTGTGTCCTCGCATACTGTGGCTGGATGGTCAGATAGTCCAGGAGCCAGGATGTGAGGTGCAGGTCGACTCCTGTGTGTTCCAGCTTGTCCCTCAGAAACATGGGCTGTATGGTGTTGAAAGCACTGGAGAAATCATGGAACACGATCCTCACAGTGCTCCCAGCCCTCTCCAGGTGTGAGAGAGATCTCTGCATGAGGTAGATGACAGCATCATCCACCCCGATGCCTGGCTGATAGGCGAATTGATGTTGTTGATGATCACGGACAGTGTTCAGCTACAGCAGGGGTGGGCAACTGGCGGCCTGGGGCCCACATGCAGCCCCCATTAACCCTCAAAGTGGCCGTCAGATCAATTTTTGGGTCAATGACGTGACGCTCATTTTTTTGTGTCCATAAGGTTTAGTTAACTTTTAAAGGCTTAAAATTTTAAAATAAATGCACAAATGACATGCTTTCATCCTTTGTTTTGAGGACCTAGTCTAAAATGTATATTTATTATACATTTTTAGAGAATATTTGGGGTATTTAGGCAAAAATGTGTAAGTGGTGTAACCGTTGAAACTTCGTACCAAAGAATTAAACTTCCTTTAAAAAGGTAAAATTTTCATATAACACCCTATGAACTAGCCTGGCATAATCTTACAATAGAACTGTTCAATATTAAATAAAAGTAATGGAACATCACTGTTCTTATTATTATAATTATTTTAGGGAAATCGTGTCACCCAGTCAAGTACCAAATTGTCAACATGGTGTAACCACTATTGAAGGAGCCATTTTGTTAATATATTCATCATATCATGTGACAAGAAATGATACCACAAAGAAGAACCCCTGATGGTCCTAACTGCTGCAGGCCAAGTTTAGCAACTCTCTTTAACACATGAGATAATTTGACATTTTAAGGGCGTGGTCGGGTATGTCAAATGATATGACCTCAGAAAAACATCAACAATTTATGATAATTATAAAAATGTGTATACACTTTACACATTATATTTGAAATGTTCACACCAGGAAATGTGCTTACATAGGTCTCAATGATAATGCCTGTCAAAATTGATTTGAAGTAGAAATGTCAAATGGTGTAACCGGTTACACTATTTGACTTTTATGACAAGCCTTTCTGTTAGAGGCCACTTCTGTCAAATATCAGTATTTTTTCATGTTGATTAAAGTGGTGATTCATCCACAGCCTTATTATCAAGGGTCTAGGACAAAATGCTGTGGCATTTTGTAAATGTTTAGCTTCAAATTGCATATTTGTGTTCCATTTACTTACATTTATGGAGGTGCACTATGTAGTTTTGGTAGAGAAATGTGAAAGTTGGAGAAATGTACAGATTATGTGGTATATGTCCATCATAACTCTAAACACAAACTGTCCTCAGATGAAAATTTGGTCTCTGTAACACTGTTTGAAGATAAAATGCTACTGGAGAGGTTATGGTGGGGGGCCCGCAACAGTGAAAGCGTAACTCTCCTGGTAGCTTTTCAGCTCCAAACAGTGTTCAGGGACACATTTTTTTACTTTGAATAAAGTTTGTGTATTCAGTTCAGAAAATATATCAAAGAATTGTTTCACTTCTCCAACTTTGAAATTTCACCACCAAATCTACATAGTGCACCTTTAAACATGTATAATCTAATATATGTATGTATGTTGTAATATTGGCACCAGTAGTTGCATTTTAGATGTGTCGGCTATTAGGGGCCATGTGGTAGGGTAGGTAGTGTCAGCGTGTCACTACCTGGAGCTTGCTTGCCAAAGTCTGGTACTATAGAAGGTGGCAATGCTGTTTGGGCTGTGATGGTCATGATGTGAAGAAGGAGAGATGTAACGTGTTGCCTGTGGGTATGTTATCCTTTGATTAGGGCACAAGTACCTTGAGTTTATTCCAAATACTGAAGAAATGAATTCCCCCTGAAGATTTTGGTCAGATGTTGTAATTTACTTAAGATATGAATTAATTAAGGATGCACCGATCCTGACTAAGACAGCTAGATCAGGTATCAGTAAGAATTTGCCGATCTATGAGACCCATCCAAAAGGCCGATCTATTCACTTCAGTTTTATAGTATTCTGTGTTTAAGACAAATGTGCTACATTCCTGTCATCAGCGTACTGGTATTCTGTGCACTTTGGTAGGTGGAGCAAACATGAAATGGAGGAAGCTAACAACAATTTCTTCAAGAAACAATGGCCTTTGACTGTAGAAGCAGTATGGTCAGTTGGTGGAACTGGTTTGCGTCAATTTGTGTAACCAGTATTTCAGTAAATATAATAAAACACAGGACAATTAAAGTGGAATAAAAGTAGTCCTCTATTGCAGTGAAATAACATGTTTTTTAACAATTTTTACATAATTTGCCAAAAATTTATTAGAAAACAGAGGTGTTTTCAGCTTTGTGCCCCGCTCAGTATTGAAAAAGGGCATAACTTATAAATTTAGGGATAATCCTAATAAAATCTATTTTCTTGTGCTATTTTAAAATGAAGTAATTCAAATCATGAGTACGCTTGTATATACTCTAGATGTATAAAAGAATCAATATTCTTAATTTTTCAGTGGTTACACCACTTGACATTTTTAGGTCCATTTAGTCTTACCTTTTGAAAAAAAAAGGTTTAAATGTCATTTTAAAAAACACAAAACCAACATGAATACAAATCTCACATTTTAATGAACCTGATTCATGCTTTCAAATTGTGTTTTTAAAAGATTTTTGAATTGGTCATCTGAACAACCCTTATTTGTCACTGACCCTTTTACATATCAATTAATTGGAAACATGAAGAGAACGTCACAAAATCTGCCATGAAATCATGAAAACCAGAAATATGTCCATAATAATATTTGATCCCTGGCATGCGAGTTAAATTTGAGACATAATTGACTGTAATCGTTTTTGTATCCTACAATTTGGCCCCCTAGCGGTGAGAATTAAATGAATGTGGCCCTTGCTGTGACCAAAGTTGCCCATCCCTGATCTACAGTGTTATCTTCATGTGCAAACTGAATAATACTTTTGTGTTTATTTGTACAATCATGTGTAAAATATGAAGTTGAAATCATTTTAAATCTTGATGTTTTTTGTGGAAGAAATCTGGCAACCACCCTCCTGGTGTCTCGCGGCCCCCCAGGAGGTCGCGACCCCCACTTTGGGAACCAATGCGATAATTTATAATACAATAATAAGATACAAAACTGTGGCACTGAGCTCCAAACGAAATATTTTGTCCCTTTTTTTTTTTTTTTTTTTTTAAATGGCACTCAAAAAGTTGTCAACTCTCCTGCTGCACCAGGATGCTAATAAATGTAGCCAAATAGCATTAGGATTAACACACTAACACTTACCTACGTTACCAAACTCAAAGCTCCCTGCATGTGCTTCTTTTATTTATATAAGAAGTTAATTAATTAAAAACAAAGTGTTAGTAAACGACGTGCAGAGAGTGTCACTGTAACGTTACAGTAGCCATGTTGTTAGCACTAGTTGTTAGCTACATTAGCATACGTTAACAGTCAAAACAGTCTAACTATTACACTTACCGTGTATCTCAAGGCTTAATGGTGTAAGCGCCTACTTCCCGGTTATCTATAAAACCCCATATAAACTATTTAATTAAAACAAATAGAGATTAAAAGCGACTAAAATCTTGTTCGTATATAAAAAACAAACGTTACGAATACTGGTCAGTAGTAGAGATTCAAATTCCGCTCCACAGTAGAGATGTGCCGGCGTGTATCCCTCCGCGGGAAAAAAGTCCGCGCTATACCCTACTACAACACTTAAAAAAAAACACTCTTTATACAACATCGGCTGACTGTGAGAAGTAAAACGTTGATACAAGTGACGCAAGTTGTTTATACAAATAAAAAATAACGACAACGAGGAGCGAGCTGTTTCTTTCGGAGGAACTAACTTCCGTGTTGTGAGAGACTAAAAGCGTCCGGAACTCGTTTAATATGAATCCACCAATAGTAATGCCAGGCAAGACACCATGTGATCTCCGTGAGCCAATAGGAGCTGTCCTGTGATAGAGAGATAGAGAGACAGACAGATAGGCATAGATATACATTTATTGGCATTTCCACTGTCAAAAGTTGGGAATGGGCTGAAAGAATCGTCACTTCCTGTTTGACAACTAAATATACCATGGATTTGGAAAGAGTCATTACAATGCTGTTTTTTTTTTTGTGTGTGACTAATGTCAGGGTGAAGATCAGGGTTTACCGTACCAAACTGTACTTAACCAAACTGGACCCCCTGGTGGAAACGGGGCCTATTTAGTTGTCTCAGCCGTTAGTCTGTTGTCCAGTTAAAATTATAAAATCTAATGTTAGTTCCACAACAATCTACTCCCTTTTAGTCAAACAACGGGATTTGCACATTGTCAATGTCTAATGAGTTGCACATTGTCAATGTGCAAATACAAATGGCTCAAGAGGAGTCTTAAATGTCACTGTTTATTATAACAGAGGCCTTTTATCCTGTGCTGGACGGGACACTTTAACAAATACAAGTAAGGCCCACTTTTTCAGGCACCATCAACCAGTGGATGAATAGGTAACAGACACTGGCTTAACGTAGGAAGAATAAAACAAAACAAAAACCCTGAAGATCGTTTGCACGTACAAGCTTTGATTTATTATTCTTTTCTTTTATGTGAAAAAAACACATTCCCTATAATGAAATGGATAAAACACTTTCAAAGCTCATAAGGGATGCACAAAAGGAAAGCAATATCCATCATTTTCATGTTCTGTGGTACAATTTTAAAAAAAGTCAACAGCTTCTTTTTCAAGTAATCCAGCTGGACTGGAACGGGCTCCCTTGACTGCACGGCCCCATCTGCTGTCGGATGTTTTGAAAGCAAACAGCTGGAGCTCTCCCGGTCTGTGGGTTCATCGCTGACCTGATGCTCAAAGTTAAAAACTCCCCCCAAAAATCTGTCAGGTAGCTAAGCCATCAATAGATAGAGTTGATGTAGGGTGACATTGCACTTATTCATTTAAATACAAATACACAGGCTTTGGGCCTCAGCAGCAGATCAGATACAGGATCAGAGTGGATTTAAAACAAAAAACTTCTCAGACATGTTTAGGGGAGCTCTGAGACTTGTTTAAACTGGTTAAAAATGGAGGAAAATATGTGACTTACTAACAGTTTTGTAACACCATCACTAACGTCAGGTATATTTTACCTGATAAAACATACTTCCCAACAAAATATATTAAAGTGCAACAATACGTGGTAAATTGAAGTACTCTTCTTTTATTTCCCCCTATACAATGTCTCATTTAACAGAAAAAAGGTATCATGGGAGGACTTTATAAGAAGGCTCTTAAATTAGTGATAAATTAGGGAATCGTTCATGAAAAATCCCTAAAAAAATTAATAAATAATGGAGCTGGGAACTTGTTTTTCAGTCCACTTGTTCCTGGGACATGTGAGCATTGTCTGGTGAAATGCAAAGTTTCTCCCTGCATCTCTGACAACAGTGGGACATTGTTTTTGTTTTTAAAGATTTTTCATGGAGAGAGAGAGTAGGGAATGACATGTGGAAAACATGTGGACATGTGGAAAAGGAGACAGAGGCCAGATTTGAACCTGGGCCGCACACCTGGAGGACTAGCCTCCATACATGGGGCACGCACACTAACCACTGAACCACCAGCGCCCCAGTGGGAAATATTTACTCGCTATCACTAACGCCGGGTGAAACTCACCCGAACCAAAACCAGGGATGGGAGCAGGGAAACACGCCTACCTTCAGTGATGTCAGGGAGCAGACTGAAGCTACCCAAGGACCCTCACAACTCAGACAGCAGCCACACATTGAAGATCACCTGACAACGATCACATGGGTGAAACGTTAGTGTTCCAGGGTTAAAGTAAATCTGAGCTCGAAGCGTATTTTCTGGACTCTTGTGATTTTTTGGGGGGTTCTCAAAATCTCCCAACCTGCTGGTCACATCCTGTTTAACAGGGTCTTGAAATCCAGACCCTGACACTAGCACTTCATTGTGCGACTACAATCAAGGTGGGTTAACTGACGTCAACTCTTGAGGAGCTCAGTAAGCGCTTCACACACACACAAACCAGTCACAAACACACACATACTTTTCTTGTTTTTTTGGGATGTTTCAGAGTCTGCGGCACAGCTGAGTACACTGAGATCAGATGCAACAGTGAGCCTCTTTCCACAGTCGGGGCTGTCAACCACATGAAGCATGTGGCTTCTTCTGTTGACACCAGGCGAGGCTGTGACAGGCGAGGGGAGCTTCACTGTTGTTGTCACAAGCTGGGGAAATGAAACTACTCCAGACATCAGTTCCTATGTGAAATAATCTTATTTGTTTATGACCTCCCGTCCAAAAATTCGATGTTCACAATCTGAAAAACTGAGACGCCTTCTTTTGAGAAAACAGAGCGGGCAATAACAAAGCTCTAAGATGTTGAATCCATTGTTTCCACCCAGTGACTTTCAATTTTCTTTTGGTTTCAGATTTCTGATTACGTCCTCACTTTGAAGCACACAATGTATTTCAGATATTTCTTTAGGACAGGAACAAGCTGCAACCGCTGTGTTGAAAAATGAAGCCACTGTGAAGTGCAAACTGCAGTTCCACGAGTGTCCACTTGAGGGTGGTGTAACAAACCAAGGGACCTCTACTATAGGTCCAATGTGAAAATGCCTTTTGTACAGCGGTAATAAACACATATGGGGTGGCTGTGGCTCAGTGGTCGAGTTGGTCACCTCTCAACCGGAAGGTTGGGGGTTCAATCCCCAGCTCCTGCAGCAACATGTCCGATGTGTCCTTGAGCAAGACACTGAACCCCAAGTTACTCCTGCTGCTTCATTGGCTGCATGTGAATATGTATGAATGGGATTCGTTAATACTAAGGCTGTCAGCATTAATTAATCGTGATTAATTACCAACTGCAATTAATGCATTATTTTTTAAAAATCCTGATTAATCTCCTGTTATTTTGTCCCTTCAGGCTCACCGTAGATATTCCTCCTCAGGGTGTGTTCGAATTGTCCCTCCTATCTCCTTTCACTATCCACTTTACCTTAATCCCGCGAAAACGTCATGAGGTTAAGGAAAGATGTTAGGAGAATTCATAAAGGATTTAGGGAAAGGCGATCTCGTTGCTCTGACAATCCGACCACATTTTCCACTAGGCCACGTCATTAAATGCGACGGGCCGGCGTAGGTTAATGACGTGGGTCTGTTGTACAATGTTCCGAAAATGGACTACAAAAAACGCATCTAAAAAACTTTCCCCTGTGTCTTCTTGCCGGTGAAATAATCCTAATTACCACAAGGTTGGGATTGAAATAAAAGAAATATAGACCACCAGGCTACAAGTAACAAAAGTGAAACCATCAGCTTCCTGTCCACTCAGAAATCAACATCAACATCAATATGATTGTATGAAATTAAATGTTACATTTATGCAAAATATAGCCTACACATGTTTTAAACATACAAATGTACAACTGCACAAAGTATTCTTAAGTGAATGAAATATGTTGAATAAAACATGATCTGATAAAAATGTCTCTTATCTTTTTATCTCTTACATGATCTGTGTCACTTTACGATCATCGTTCATTTCCGTGAACGGTCGGATGCGCAACTCGCTTTAAATGTTGCGGCCGCAAGGAATTGTGGGGCGACATATCTCATCTCCTTTCGTAAAGGATGGTCCAGTGTATCCTATGCTAAAGGAGGTTATAAAGGAAGCATTGACCCACCTTTCCTTAACTTTTAGAGAATTCGAACGGCTCTTATCATGGCCGCCACTTAAATGCTTCCGGGGTTAAAGGTGAAGTGGATAGTGAAAGGAGATAGGAGGGACAATTCGAACACACCCTGTCTCCCTGTAGTCTCAGTGATGTAAAAGAAGGTCACTGCTGAATCTTTGAATGTCTCATTTCACTTTAATAAACTCTCAGACAGCTCAGCTGACAAGTCCAAAGTCATATCCACCTTATGACATCACACATTGACCTTATGACATCACACATTGACCTTTGTTACCGTTCCTTTGAGCTGTTTGACCTCAGTTTTGGATCCCTAACCACTTCCTGTTTCTGTGCTTAACTTCAAAAAACTTTCAAAATAAAAGCACAGTTTAATTCATACAAGTAGGGCACTTTCAGCTTAATAAAGGACAAAAAATCAAAATAAAAGCCTGACGATTTTTACTTTTAAATGTGAAACAATGAAATTTCCAACATGTGATTAAAAATGTGATGAGTGGCAAACTGATTGGAATATTATTACATGTAGCGAGGAGGTCTATCCTCAAGTTCTGGATCTCTAAGGGTGCCACAACATTGGTCGATTGGTACTCCCCCTGGAAAGGCTAACATACAGCCGTTTTTTAATCATTTGACAGCTCTAATTAATACTGATGGACTCTTTACTCAGCAGCCTCTACCATCAGTGTGTGAATGTGTATGAATGGATGAGTTAATACTGATGGACTCTTTACTCAGCAGCCTCTACCATCAGTGTGTGAATGTGTATGAATGGATGAGTTAATACTGATGGACTCTTTACTCAGCAGCCTCTACCATCAGTGTGTGAATGTGTAGGTGTGACCTGCGGAGTAAAAGAGCTTTGAGTAGTCAGAAGACTAGAAAAGAAATATACAAGTGATTGCTGCGATCCATGCTCAGGCCCAGTTAGTCCTGGAGCAGTCAGAGTGCAGGCCAGCGGGGGAATGGGGGGTAATCATGCTTGAGCACAGTACGGGACAACTCTGCCCAGTGACTGCACCCTGAGAGTCATTCACACATTTACACAGTTAGGGGCGTGGTTGAGTTGACTGACAGGAGGCTAAAAGGCAGCCTCATATCCACCACTTTACCTACTTCTAAGGCAAAGCTAAGATTGATCGCAAATAGAGTTTGAGACAGCATTTTCAACATGGCCACCGCCATTATTGGGTCTCATGACACCTTTCCAGAAATGTCCCTGTTAAGAAAATAAAGTCCCACACCTCAATAATATCTCTATTTTTATTTGTGTATATATACACATATAAAAAATAAGGACATATGTACAATGATAATAAATATCAACATGTTTTTACAAGTGAAATAAGTTACTTAACATATTTTAAAACAAACATAAAAGATCAATTAACAAGACGGGCAAAAAAAATGCAAAGTAGAACCGGAGCGTCAACAGAAACAAAAAAAACAATGTGAGCAAAGAAAGCCAAACTTAACGCCTCGTGTGAGGAAATATAACAAGCAAACACATGTAAGAACTGAACAAATGCACATAAAGTACATCAAACATGCATTTCTCATCAGCGGAGACCTGTACGCATTTGCATTTGTAGTCTTTGCAACGTGTTCTTCAAAAAGGGAAACATATGAAGACAATCTGAGTACCAGTGTGATGAGCTCACTCGCTCCTCCAGGACAGAAAGTGGAGCCAATCTATCGCTAATCTTTGAATCAACAGATACTTATTTGGTTTTTAAGGGGCAGACAAATTAAACAGGGACTACATTTTTTTTGGTTCATCATCTCATAAAGAACTGGAGCTGGCAGATCACGGCTGACATATCAAACAGAAAGCGGAAAAAGGAAGTGGATTGATCAGCCGTAAGCGATCTCTGCGTCTCGCTCGAGGGAGAATTTAGCCGTGGATAAAATATTCAGAAAAAAAGCTGCAGACATCAGCTCAGTGGCGTTAAAAGTGGACGGACTGCTGAGACTTTAATATTGATCTGGAATCAAATCAAATTAATTGAAGAATTTCAACTAGAACAAAAAAAAAAAAAAAAAAGCAACTGCAGTCTACTTTGGCTTATCGGAAAGGTGAAGAGAGGCACAGAAAAAAGGGAAACACGGATTCCTGTACAACCCTTTGAACCAGAAAATCAGACATGTTTAGTGTTTTTTTTCTTTAAATAATCCAAAGAGATCATTCGTTCACAATATCAGCGTCTGTAAAGGTCCGCTCAGGATGAAAACACGAGGCGGCGAGAATGGTCGTATCAAAGATGTACAGTCCACTTGTAGAGGATCATGCAACACGAGGGTGGAGTGCTGATGGCGGATGATGAGTTCCTCCACTTCAAACGTCGGGATCGTTTTGATATTCTACAACTCTCTCAGCTCTGTACACAGTTGGAGAAGAGGTGTGGGGGAGGAGGGGGGGACGTTGGTTGTCCTCCCCCTTCCTTCACTCTGGACTCCTCTGGTCCCGACAGACACGGTCCAAAAACACCAGAGAGCTGACCCTGCTGGACAGAACACACACAGAGAGGACAGAACAGTACAAAGTTAGAGAGGACAAATGTTCAGGTTTCTGAAAATGAGATCATTAAGAAGTTTTTAAATGTATATGGGTATCTTTCCAGGTCCAGTTTAACCCCAACAACAGAAACACACCTCTCTCCTTGTCAGCTTTTTCTGCAAGAAGAATGTGTGACTTTCTGATCCAGTAGATGTCGCCCTTGAGCACCAGCATGAAACCAAAACAAACTGCTGTTAGGCCACACCTCCTCCATACTGAAGCCTCCGCTCTCCTCCAGAGACACACCTCCAACCTCCCCTCCACACTCACGTTTGCACGAAGGAGTTATCAACTAGAACGCACCATGAGTAAGGACTAAGCACACTGGCGGACAAAATTGTCCTTGTCTTGAGCTGCTATCAGCTGTGTCCTGCATTGTTGTGTTAGCATGCTAATGATAGCACTCTTTACTTAGCTTGTAGCTTCACATTGCATGTAAATTCACATGATGAAACTCTTACTAACGTCTAAATAATCAGTGAGTATGTTCTTCTTCTTCTCTCTAGTTCTTGACTAAAACAGCTTTTATACACAAGGGGAGGAGCCGGCCGTCCCGTCCATGTAAACACGGCTCTGACAACAACACAGCCAGCGGGACTCGAGCTTCTCACTCATTGTAGACAGTCATGACTCAGAGACACATTTACACAGGACAGACCTGTTCTCTGATATGTTGATGTGTAACATGTCGCACATTCTTTGTTTAAAATCATATCTGCTCTCCTGGATTGAAAATAACTTTTGTACAGAGTCTGGGTGTGACTCGGTAGGCTGTGAAAAGTTGTGTGAATCTGAATCTGATTGTGCTCTGAACATTATTTGCATCATTTTGTGACAGAACAAGTCATTAAATGTCATTACCAGTGTTGGGACTAATGCATTACTGTAACGCCCGTACTATTTGTGGTAACAAGAAACTAATGAGCTGCTTTCCATATTTTACTAACGCGTTACAGTTACTGACATTTAAAAGCAACAACACGTATGCGAGGTGACGCTAACGTCTGCACAACAGCATCCTGAGAGATAGAACGTTGTGTGTAGTAAACAAACACGGGCAGGTGATCATTCAGCGGTTACCGTCTCTGAAATACCAACATTATTTTTCCCTGCTCGATTTAAACAACTAGAATGACACGATGAGTTGGATTCTGTGTCCAGGAAGGAAACCTTATCTTAAAGAACGAAGCACAGAGTGAAACAACACCATGCTTCTAATAAAGTCGCTCTCAGAGAGCTAGCAGTACGCTTCTAGAGAGCAAGGCGCTGTAGACTCCGGAGACCCAGGTACAGCTCAGGTTAACTCAGCAGACCGAAGAGGAGACGCTCCAGACAAACAGCCGGCTTCATTTACAACACCACCTGCTCTACAATGTGTAAGCAGGAGAAAAGATTGATAGACAGGTAAGTTGTTGGTGAAGTGTTTTATATCAACTGATGAGTCTGCCGCCTTCAGAGATCTAATCGGTCACAGCACTCCCACAGCAACACTAAATAATGTGAACATTAATACGAGGATTGAATCAAAAAATTCAAAAAGTTACTTTAACAAGTAACTAGATAATTTTATAAAGCCGTAACATCATGAGTAACTCGGTTACTTTTGGATAGTAGAAACTAGTCTTCAGTAACAGACCCAACACGGTTCATAACATGATCATTTAAAAAGACTAATCATCAGATTAACTAGTCGAGAGGGCCAGGTTACACTTTAGACGATGACATCATCAGGGAACACCTTTATTTCCAGTTATCAGACTGGTTTAATTTAGTCCTCTGTTTCCATTCTTCCTGACTGAGTCATGGTTGGGGATGAGATGTTAATATAAATGTTATGTAAGGTTGTGTTGTACTTATAAAATTCGCCTGGTATGAAAAGCTCTCCGATACTGTCTGAATCTCTCCGACAGGACATTGTTTCTAAACCCTCTGACTAGGGTCTCCCTTAGTTCAACTTTTTCTTATTTCGCTTTCTTATCAGACGCACTTTTTCTCAGGCAGTGAGCTGTTCCTCTTTATTATCTTTTATACCATGAAAGTCTTTTTTTTTCCTCCTGATGCACCTGTCCCTTCAGACTTTAATAAAAGCGTGCACAAGGTCAGCTTTTGATAAGAAGGAGGCGGTGCGACTGGTGCAGAACATATGATGTAACAAAAGTATGCCAATAACTCTGTGAGGAAACCTGAGCTCTCCTCGGTGTCAGGAGTCTGCAGTCAGCTTCATTTTTAAATGTTATTTTCTTTATTAATCTCTCAGGTAAATTCTGGTTGATCTCTCTGTTATTGAGAGATGCACAAAGTCTCAAAATACACACACATGGACAAACAGAACAGACAAACTTGTGGACATGCATTAGTGGAGCGACGTCAGAGTAGGGCTGCTACACATGGAGAGTGCCAGTCTTCATACTCGAGGACACCTCTGCATTATCTCTCCAGCTACCAGACCAACTTCCATATTTTAGTCTGGACTGGGACTAGAACCGACGACCGTCAAGTTCCAAACCCAAGTCCCTACAGACTGAACTACTGCCGCCCACAATATATGATCTTATTTGAAGAGGAGGCCATGTTACCTATATCAAGGATTGAGCATCTATAACAGGGATGGGCAACTTTGGTCACAGCAAGGGCCACATTCATTCAATTCTCACTGCCAGGGGGCAGTACAATCAAAGCACAATCAATTATGTCTCAAATTTAACTCATTTACCAGTGATTAAATATTATTATGGACATATTTCTGGTTTTCATGACAGATTTTGTCATGTTTTCTACATGTTTCCAATCAATTGAAATGTAAAAATTGACCTGAGGGCCACGTTGAGGGTTAATGGGGGCCGCATGTGGCCGCCAGTTGCCCACCCCTGATCTATAACCACGATAATGATCCTCTAACAGTGGATCATGATCACTTCCATCACGAAAGGCTAACTTGAAGCAACAGGAGCTGCAATGCACTCATCATCAACTCACAACCTTTTGTAGGCTATATCATATTTTTATCTCATCATTCTACTGAAATCCAAGAAGGAATAGTAGGGCCACATTAAGGGGAATTTTTGTGATTTAAGGGAGAATATGAGATTTTTCACACTACAACATAGCAGAAATGAAGTATATCGTCTGAAAATAACTCTGTGAGTCATGACTGTCCACAATGAGCTTTTAGATCACGGTCATTTCATTTAATTTAAATTTACATGCAGTGTGAAGCTATGAGCAAAATAAAAAGTGCTAGCATTAGCATGCTAACACAACAATGCAGCGCCAGTTGTTTTGGTTTCATACTGGTGCTCAAGGGTGACATCTGCTGGATCAAAAGGTTGCATATAAAACCTTTAATGTCATACATTTACGAGATTAAAGTCATTATTTTAGTCTTTAGTTATATCAGTAGAGCAGCAGCCGCTTGGTTGAAAATGAGAACAGGGAGTACTTGTGAAGTTTTACTTTAGTAAAGGTTTCATAAATATATGGTTATATGGTTTGACAAAATATGCGATTATTTGTGTTGGGGCTTTACATATGAAGATATGAAACTACACATGCTTTTGGCACATCAGCATCATCACATTGTCATAAAATATCAGGACCCTGAAAAGATACTGAAAGAAATTGGAGCTTTTCCAGAGAGAGGACCACGCTGACTTGGAGGGAGTTGTCTCTTTTGGGGCAGAGGAAATGTCTTTAAGTGTTCTACTTTGATCATTTTCTGACTGCTCCTTTGATACAACCTTTCAGATTAATACTTTTTAAGAAATAGCCTGATTTACGATTTTCATACCATAAAATAATGAGTTTATTCTCATAAATTTATGACAGTAATCTAAATAAAATGTAAATTGTAGATAACCGTTGTTCAAGTCTCTTTTGTGCTTATTCGAGCTGAATTTTTTTTTGCACCAAAACCCAAAGTTGAATTCCTTGAACATGGAAACCTACTCCACGATAAACCTGATTCTGATTGTGATGATGATTTCTGTTGTTTTAGTCATTAAGTTAGATTGTTTTTAGGGTGGTTCTGGAGGTTAGCTTAGCGTCAAACAAAGACTGAAAACGAGTGGAAACAGGTAGCCTGTCTCTGTCCTGTGGTCATGGGCAGTTCTAGGCAGGGGCCAACAGGGGCCAGTGCCCCTGTAACACTGAGCCTGGTCCCCCCTGTGGACACCCCTCCAAAAGGAAGAGCCCCCCCTAATAACACATACACAGTATTTGACTCAACAACCGGACTCACAATCTATATGAAATACTGTTACTGAAACAAATATAAATGATGGTATTTTATGTTGTGGTATTTAATGATGTGTGCTATTATTTGGCATAATATTTATTTATTTTTTAAAGTGATCATCTTTGTCTATTTCTCACCTGAGTTTAATGTTCCCTAAATGTTCTGACAAAACAACTGGCCCCAGTTTGGCCCCCTCAATAAAAGTGGTCTAGAACCACCACTGCCTGTAGTTTAAAAAAATCCACCTGTGAGCCAAGCTTTTCTGTCATGTCAGAAGTGACCAAAAACAGAAGTGTGTGAAAGTTTTAGTTTGTGTTTGCACTTTGTGATTTTACATGGGATTTTTATTTTTATTTATTTAACCGTCATGACATAATTTTTACAGACGAATGTGAGAGAGCTATCGATCTTCTGATCTCTTCCTCGGTTAGAAACCAATTACATCTTTTCCAAAATGTTCAATTATTCCTTCATATTTATTGATAAGTTGAGCAGCCAGATAAAATGAAGTAAATATTTGTAACACTACACTGAGCAGCCAAAAAAACAAAATTGGAAATCGTTGAAGGTTTAAATCTGTTTGCATAAATGTAATTAAGGGGAACAATACCTTCCACTGGTTCACTGCAGCTTCACGCCTGGAGCCAGCAGTTAGTCTTCCTCTGTCCGCATGTCGTACAGTGCTCTTCCTCTGTTTGCGTCCACAGTAGCCCCGGGTCATTCTCCGGGCGTCGGTACGAGGGGAGGGGGTTCATCATGGGGGTTTAAGAGTGCGTCACAGACACACTGATAGTCCGGGATCGTTGGCATTCAGAGGACTGAGAGTCCGTGCGTAAAAATGTGTGTGTGTGTGTGTGTGTGTGTGTGTGTGTGTGTGTGTGTGTGTGTGTGTGTGTGTGTGTGTGTGTGAGGGAAAGTTTCCTTCTTGGCAGTGCAAGTCACCACCCTCACCCAAAACGTGAGATATAAAGCACTTATTGAGACATCCACAGCGGTCGTAACAGTGAGGGTTCAACTACATTCTCCATGCCTAATGTCTTCACGTCAGCTTAAGTGTGCCGTTTTCTGTTCCGCTGCAAATAGCTGAATGCAAATAGCCATTTCTTTTTCTTTCTAAAGCCATGAACAAACACCCGAAAGGGACTCAACCAAAACACATATTTGTTACAACCCGCGGCTGAATAAATGTCATTTGGAGTGCACTTAGTATATTGGACTTGAAGGTGCGTTTGTGGGTCATCGTGCGGGGGGGGGGAATGTAAGCGCCTGCCCCTCACATTGTCATTCACAGGGGGGGGGCCTCTCGATAACCGTTAGAACACTGACGTCGTCCGTAAGACACAAGAAAAAAGAACAACAAGAAATGTCTTAATTCAAAGCAAACCGTCACGACAAATTAAAGTGGAAGAGGAATCAGAGACTTTCTCGGGGGATAAATACAACATGGGGGGGGGGGGGTATAAATTGAGCAGAGAAAGTCTTGAGAGATTGTCCTTCATTCGAAAACCCCCTCGTGTCTTTCACTCCAATTCACGTCATTTTCCATTTAATTTCCTCTTCTCTTTTGTCTCTCTCTCCTCTCGGTCCCACGCAGAGCTCCTGCTATACGGGACATGATTGTCGTCTTGCTTCCAGATTAATTAGTCTTTTTTTTTTTTTAATACCGCTCTCACACTCTCAGCTCTCAAGTACTAAAAAAAAGGGAAGACACGCGCTTCCAGTTTTTTTTAAGTGCAGTAAGCTGAAAAAAGTCTCAAAGGACAAGAGGGACAGAGAATCAGTTTGTAATTTCCAGTCAAGATACTTCCACCGTTCATTAACTGGTGGCTTCAGCGCGCCGACTTGAAGCCTCACTTGGTCCACTTAACATAAAAAAAAAAAAAAATGTGCCCATCAGAAAAAACATGTTGCGCCGTTCGTTTGATTTCCATGCTTGAGGTGTTCTCCTCTTGTGTTCAGCCTCTTTAAATACAAAATTTACACGTGTGGCGATCGCACAGTGGAAGAAGAAAAAAAGCCACCAGACATGGCCGCATGTTGCTGGGAACACAATAGTAGGAGTGCGTGTTGACCGACTCTGTGGATATTTAACATGCTGTGTGCTATTAATGTCTACAGTGAGCCAATCAGGCATTGGCGGCGCGAGAGAGAGAGAGAGAGAGAGAGAGAGAGAGAGAGAGAGAGAGAGAGAGAGAGCGTGGGGAGTTGACAGCGTGGTCACTGAAAGAGAGCGAGAGCAGGCGTTCCTCGAGAAGAGGAAGAGGTAGGTTGGTTGTTTTTTTGTTTTCCAACTCAGGGAACGAAGACGGGAGGAAGACGAGGCCTAGACGGATGACTCCTCCGGGTTGGCGTCCGGCAGCACGCTCCTCTGCTGCAGCGTGCGCCTCAGCTCCTCCTTAAAGGGGCTGGAGTAATCGTTCCCGCTCATGCCGAGACCCCCGAGCCCGCCGCCCCCAGCGCCGGCCCCGCTAGCCCTCTCCTCCCCTGCTGTGCTCAGGTTGAGGCGGATGTAGCCATTGCTACCCGAGCCTCGGATGTTGGTGAGGCTGAGACGGCTCGGGGAGTGGATGGGCTGGCCCGGGATGGTGCTGGGCGACGCCGTGCTGCCGACACTGGCGGGCCCCAGGGCGTGGCCGGGAACGATCTTCAGCGAGCCGTCCGAGTAGTAGTAGTTGGCGCCGGTCTCCCAGAAGCGGTCCTCGTCGCTGGGCATCTTGCTGGGCACGAAGGTAGGCGGCTCCTTGGGCAGCGTGATGGGGTAGACCAGCGTGCTCTCCAGGGGCTTCATGTCGGCGCCTTTCCCCAGCGCCAGCTTCAGCCTCCTGCGCAGGTACAGCGCCGCCACGAGGAGCAGCAGGCACGCCGCCCCGAGGGTGATGACCAGCACCCAGAAGAGCCCCATGCTGCTGTCGGGAGCCCGCGCCTCCATGAAGACCGGGGCGCTGGCGACCACGGCCACCTGGTAGCGTTCGGTCTGAAACTTGACCCCTTGCTCCTCTGAGTAGCAGACGTAGCGGCCCGCTTGCATCTGGCCCGCTTCGGGGACGACAAGTGCCTTCAGGGTGCGGTCGAAGCGAGGCCCACCCACCTCAGGGTCCCCCAGCTGGAGCTCGCGGTCGTTGAGGACCCAGAAGGGCTGAGCCAAGTTGGAGACCAGCTGGCAGGGCAGCACCATGTCAGACCCAACCACCACGGTTACGTTCCTCAGACGGGAGTGCTCTGCAGCGAGGAGGACGAGGAGAAAGGAGAGACGGTTAAGTATCATCCATATTAATCCAATTCATTCTAACACTGCCAGTTCTCTTCTACTTAATTCAATTTATTCAGCTCAGACTTAATGTATTCACTCAGTCCAGCTCAAGTCTCTTTCCCCTGCTACCTACTCGCCTCTGCACCGACAGTCAATCTCCACAAGGGGGCCACTGCTGAGACCTGTTACTCACCGGGGCTGGGGATGGAGACAGGCTTATCGAACTTGGCTTTTCCCCGGCTGAACCTTTCCAGCATGAGGTCCTGTGACAGGGAGGAGGTGGAGCTGCAGGGGAAAGGGCAGAAAAACAGAGCAGGTTATTAATGGTCTCTTACTGGAGTGATTTGGTGCACACACCAGAACATTGCCAAACATTTACACATAAAAGGAATTTGACTTGGTGTATTGGTGCTAAACAATTAACAAGGAAATAAAGCAGAACTAGCAACAACTTAAATAATACAGAATAAGAAGATATTACAATATATAAAATAGAATTTATAAATGTAAAATATAAAATATAAAAAACACAAAATGTACAAAAGGTGCAATGTAGGAGCTGTGCAGTGGATGAGAAAAAATCTTAGTGTGTGTAACTACTCACAGAGTGCATGTAAGGAAGATACATTTTTAAAGTCCAGTGGGCTTTAATGTAACGCATAAACAACAGTTCAGCATTCACATTACTTTGATGTTTTACTGACTGTGGGGCTGATGAGAGTCTGGTTATGTGGGAGGAAGGGGGGGGGCATTGTTCATCAGCAAGGTTTCAACAAGTACGCTGCAAATAAAACTGTCAATACCACGAGTTTATCCTTTTTTTTCTGCATAGTTATTGTTAATAAAGTTATATTTAAGTTGATGTCTGTTTCATAAGGCTTGCCCGGGGAGATCAGCATTTTAAATCAGGAGGATTTTATTCAACACCTTCAGGGCAGCCTTCAGATTTAAAAAAAATACTCTGAAATACAGGAGGTGCTTGAATCCTGCTGGAAGACTTTCATTATAGACTGCTTGTCAATAAAGAGTTCAAGGGGCGAAGTGATGAATGCTAAGCCTTAAAGCATATGTACTGATATAGTATGAATGCATAGGTACACATAGGTGTATGACTCACCCGCGGTGGAGGTCGATGCGTACACAGGCCCGGCCCTCGCTGTCCCAGGCGCAGTAGGGGTCCCGGGCGAGCAGACAGTCTGGCTGTGACTGATAGCGGCTGCAGTTGGCCAAGGGCAGCTGGAGAACCTCGGAGCGAGAGCCGATGTATAAGTACTTCTACAGAGTAACAGAGAGAGAAGAAGAAGGAGAAGGAGAGGGGAGACAAAGAACAGATCCAGCCATCAGGCAGAGACAGAAAGCAGAGAGAGCGATGAAAAAACAAAGAGAAAGATAAACACAGAGAGAGAGAGAGTGTCTCAGTGAGGGGTTAGAGGAGATAATGGGATAATCACTCTCAATTACAATAACATTCACCCCCGACCCTCGTCCAATCCAATCTGGGTCGCGCTCTTTTCGGAAAAGCTGTTATAAAAATGGTCGCAGCTAAGCCAGCATTAATGAGATAAGCGGGGGGCTTTGGGGTGACGGGGACGCCCCGTCAAAATGCCAAATCGATCGGCGGCTGTTGTAGAACCTGCGGGGACGCGGGGCGACGTCTGCACGCAGGCCGAGCTGACGAGCCAGGGAGAATGAGAAAAACAACAGGGGCAGAGGTTCAATTCCCCCCGCGGTGTCGGAGGATTGTAATTACTGTTATTGTGAAGAGGGGGGGTTTTAGATTCATGAGGCCGACACTTGATCTGAGAAAGGGCAGCGTTGGTAAAAAAAGAAAAAAAAAAAAAGGCGCGGGGGGAATGACTCTGTGAGCGCTTGTCTCTGTGTTTTCAACCGATCTATGATTGTGTCTGTCAGAGACAGAATTAACAGATCAGCAGAGTCCCACTGCCACCTCTGAATACTAATGAATGAAGTGATGCAACGGCACAGCAAGCTAGTGGAAGACCTCCACTCTGCTCCTGGGAGACAAGACCAGAGGTACTAGACCATCTGGGGGTCAGCCCTATGTTCCCACAGCCCTATGTTCCTACAGCCCAATGGTCCCACAGCCCTATGTTCCCACAGCCCTATGTTCCCACAGCCCTATGTTCCTACAGCCCTATGTTCCTACAGCCCTATGTTCCTACAGCCCTATGTTCCTACAGCCCTATGTTCCTACAGCCCTATATTCCTACAGCCCTATGTTCCTACAGCCCTATGTTCCTACAGCCCTATGTTCCTACAGCCCTATGTTCCCACAACCCTATATTCCTACAGCCCTATGTTCCTACAGCCCTATGTTCCTACAGCCCTATGTTCCTACAGCCCTATGTTCCCACAACCCTATGTTCCTACAGCCCTATGTTCCTACAGCCCTATGTTCCCACAGCCCTATGTTCCCACAGCCCTATGTTCCCACAACCCTATGTTCCCACAGCCCTATGTTCCCACAACCCTATGTTCCCACAGCCCTATGTTCCCACAGCCCTATGTTCCCACAGCCCTATGTTCCCACAGCCCTATGTTCCCACAACCCTATGTTCCCACAACCCTATGTTCCCACAGTCCTATGTTCCCACAACCCTATGTTCCCACATTTCTAAGATTTTTCTCAAAATTAGGGTTAGGGTTAGGGAGAAAGGGGAATAAAATCAAAATGGGAGAAAGGGGGATAAAATCTGATACAAGTTTATGAAAAAGTAAATGTGGGAACATAGGACCTAATTTTGGAAAAAGATCTTAGAAATGAGGGAACATAGGACTGAGGGAACATAGGGCTGAGGAAACGTAGGGCTGAGGGAACATAGGGCTGAGGGAACATAGGGCTGTGGGACCATAGGGCTGAGGGAACATAGGGCTGAGGGAACATAGGGCTGAGGAACATAGGGGAACATAGGGCTGAGGGAACATAGGGCTGAGGGAACATAGGGCTGAGGGAACATAGGGCTGAGGGAACATAGGGCTGAGGAAACGTAGGGCTGAGGGAACATAGGGCTGAGGAAACATAGGGCTGTGGGAACATAGGGCTGAGGGAACATCGGGCTGAGGGAACATAGGGCTGAGGGAACATAGGGCTGTGGGACATAGGGCTGAGGGAACATAGGGCTGTGGGACCATAGGGCTGAGGGAACATAGGGCTGAGGGAACATAGGGCTGTGGGACCATAGGCACGCTCCCGGCAATCTGTACCGTGCCTAAGCACGCTTCACCCCTGAAGTCCAGTCTGTTGACTAGAGTGAATACACTGATCCGGGCTCAAGCTCCACACACTTCCTCGGCCCTGGCAAGTTTAGAAGAGGTGATCTTTGGCACGGTTCAGTTCTTTGGCACGGTTCAGTTCATGCACAAGCACAAATGTGGACAGCGTTCACTATCTAAAACATCCTGGAGTGTTCTGTGTGTATCTGACTAACATGACTCTAAATAAACCACAAAGTCAGTAAAGTAGCTGTCATGTTCTCTGTGTTGTTCGCCGATGTGCATCCCTCTGTCTTGTAAACTAAGCACACTTCACGATCATGTAAAGTCATGTTGTCTTAGGAAGTTATGTTCAAGATGTAACCGTGCTGAGGCCCGGTTAGTCCTGGAGCAGTATGAGTGCGGAAAGGAGAGGGGGGACAGTCATGCTTCAGTATGGTACGGGACAACTGGGCCTAGTGAGATTTCGCCCTTAGAGAACCATTCAGGATGAGCTTGTTAACTTTGAACAACAACTTCTAAAAAAAGTCTGTGCACTGACATTCTGCATCCGGCTGTACGTAATAAGATCAGGTATGATGACAACCAAAAAGAAGAGCTGCTCTCTCTTTATTAAATTCAGTTGTGCCGCTGTCTGTCTGATATGTAAACATGCTTCCCATCCAGACAGAGATGAATAAACTGAAATGCCGAAACAATACTTGAGATGTTCCTTTTTTTTCATCTTGATCAAATCAGACTATATTCAGAGCACAGTAGATATGATTTGTCTCAAATGGTTATGTCGTAGGATTAAAGTCTCCTCCAATCTAAATGATCCTGACATCTGACCTGGAAGGCTGCGTCCACAGTAACTTTCTGAAACGGACAAAAGTTGACATCTAGGTAAAAGAAGGGAGGAATTAAGCTCCATTCCCTTGCTCTCTTTTTCATTCTTTTCATGAAGAACTCATTTTTCATGTGCAGGAGCAAACACATCAGTGTGAATTTCCTCTGCGTATTTCAATGATTATCTCGTCTGGCACCTCTCTGTGACTGCCAGCTTTTAATTCTTTTTTTTAAAAGTGCATTTTTTAGGCCTTTATCAGATCGCGATATGAGCAAGTAATGACATTAAAAGAGGGAGGGGGCAGGGAACAGAGCTCTTGGGTTTTTTTAAGCCAGAAAAAATTACAGCCAGTTTTTTAACCTGGCTCGGAGTGTGGCGGTTATAAACAGCGAAAAATCAGACCAAGCCTCCAATTCAAGCCCAGTCCAGATCCGCCTTGGTGACATGAGCAGACATTTTGCCAGATTTAAACTAAACTGTAGTGCTTCAAATGAAAGGAACACATCCTCTTTCCCTCCCTCTCTCTTTTACCTTGGAGTGTGAGATGGTCAGGCTGTCCACGGGCTGAACGTTCTCAAACAGCTGGATCTCCTCGATCACGTGGGCCTCGGAGCCGTAGATCACCACCCTCTGCAGCCAGCCCTCCGCTGCAGAGCACATGAAAAAATAAGAGGAAGGAAGAGGATTCAGTTCACCTCGCTTTCTGCTCTGTGAAGTCAAACTTTTTCAAGTTCACTTCAGTGACGTTTACGCTTTCTTCATGCCCTTGGGGCAATTTTTTTTCCCGGCATGCATAAAAACATAAATCTTCAAACAGATAGCTTCAGCGCTTGAGCGACTCAGGATACAAAGTACACCGACTAACACACACCTGACGGCAGAACGGCTCATTTAAATACCACTGATACGATGCTTAACATGTTTACACACACACATGAACAGACACACACACACACACACACACACACACACACACACACACACACACACACACGTCATTGCACATCGACTCAATAGCAGAGATGTGAAATTGTAAATGTTCCCACACACCTGTGGCTGCACACCAGTGAGTGTAAATATTAATGAAGTGCAAACAAACACCTGTGATGACAGCACCGTATCTTACCGAGATGTTAATGACATACTCACACATTCACAAAGACACAACCTGTGAGGGCATGGACGTTCATTTACATTTTAATGGTTAAAAATGTAAATGAACAAACACGCTCTGTTGACGCCACAAATATGGATCCAGACATTTAAAGTGCACGCTGAAAATAAGCATGCATGCTTCCAGCTCATTGGTTCAGCTGCTTTTGCAAGAAGTTTACTAAAAGATAAATAAAAAAAAACAGAGTTTGTGGTCCTCCTCTGATTGTATCATGCTGGGCAACGATTAACCTAAAGCAGTGGTCGGATGCTTAACGTAAAACTAATGAAGTTAATTTGGTGCATGTGTGGTCCTGGACTAAAGTCAGGTCAGAGAGCCTGTCTGCAAATAGCAAAGGCTGTGAAACTGGAACACCTAGCTCAGAAGTCTTAATTAATGTTTCTAATTTAGCTTAGTTTCTTGATGTACCAGTAAATCAGGTCTTTGGAAAACCATAGGTACATTTTCTCCACAGATCTTACAGTCACATAAATGAATATAAAAATGCAAAAAACTCCCATCGACCTCAAACTCTGACAGTGCAGTGGCACCTGCCCTTAAATGTCACGCTGCTCTGCAGAATAAATAAAGGAAAAACAACGTCTCCTCCTCCACAAACTTACAGCAGCTTACAAGCAGAGGCCAGCTTAGTGAGAAACTATCCAAAGGTGACTTTTAAAAGAGTCTGGATTGTGTCCCAGGCCCTTAAGACCTCAGGTAAAGGTAATATTATCAGAGACATTTGAGGACGTTTTCCAGAGGTGTGTGGGGAGCTGCTGCTGGAGGAGGAGGAGGAGATGAGATCCTGCGCGCTCCTTTCATGTAGGGCATTGTGAGCTGAGTTTAGATCCCCTGTGATGAAAGGCGTTTCAGGCACAGCTGGTGGGGTGACCTTGATGTGTGTGTGTGTGTGTGTGTGTGTGTGTGTGTGTGTGTGTGTGTGTGTGTGTGTGTGTGTGCGTGCGTGTGTGTGTGTGCGCGTGCGTGCGTGCGTGCGTGCGTGTGTGTGTGTGCGTGCGTGCGTGCGTGCGTGTACCTCTGTTGGGAGCAGTATTATGTGCAGACGAGTGCTTTCCTGTGTGGTTGCCTTGATTAAGAAAACTGTCCCAGATTATATGAAAAGCTAACCTGGTAGCTAATCGGAGGCTTGTGAGAAGGAGAGACATGTATGAACAGAGAACCAACACACACACACACACACACACACACACACACACACACACACACACACACACACACACACACACACACACACACACACACACACAAACAGACACACAGACAAAAACCTAGAAGCCCAGAAAGCAGTCTGCATATCATCACACCCGTCTGTCGCGGCGTCAGGGACCAGTGTAGACTAATCCCTCAATCCTGCAGCCTGTTTTTTTCTAAAAAACAATCTCGACAAGCGCTCCCTCTCTCTCTCTCTCTCTTTTCACATCAGCTGTCGCTATGCTGCAGCTAATAGCTAATCAAGCCCGCAGCCCAATTGGCACTATGAACGCCCGTCTGCCAAGGGGCCTGTTGAGTTTGTGCTGTGAAGCACGACAAGCGGGGATGACTGCACTTGGCTCAGGGAGTGTGAGTCGTGTGCATCTTGCTGTGTGTGCATAAATCAATTTGTGAGTGTGTTTCTCCTGTGTGTGTGTGTGTGTGTGTGTGTGTGTTGTGTGTGTGTGTGTGTGTGTGTGTGTGTGTGTGTGTGTGTGTGTGTGTGTCCATGTTGTGTGTGTCCGGGGGCTGGCCTCGCTGCTTGCCAGCGGAGGAGCCCTGAGCCCGCTGTTGTCGCACTCAGTCACAGTTGCCACAGTCACTCTGCTTCTGCTGCTGCAGTGATCTGAATGGTAAGCGCTGCAGTCTCTCTCTCCATCCAGGAGCTGAGCTGCATTCAAATTCACGTTCCCTGAAATCCACTGTCAGATCTGTGTGACTCGAGATTAGGTGCTCCAGGAGGAGCAGCCAGGGTCGACATCAGAGCCAGGACAGGACACACCTGCATATGGGGCCCCGATGGCTACTGAGTGGAGATATTAATTGAGTCGCACATTTGTAGGCGTTTTCCTTTGATGCGTGAAGACGGATCTGAGCATGCAAATCAGGTCCTTAATTGAAACCCAGCTGAAGTGTGGCCAGATGGCAGGTTGTTTTGTGCCACCGCGTCTAATGCCTAGTACCTGTCCCTGTCTGCTGCCGGTGGTCTGCACGCTCTCATCTCTTCAACGAATCCTCAGTGCTAGTCAACAGCTGCACACACAAACACACACTCAGCCACAATGGGGGAACATGATGAAAGACTGTGTACCGAGGACATATTCTCACTGCCACACTGAGAGAACACCACACTGCAGCAGGTGGGCAACATTATGAGAACAGCAGAAAATGCAATTCAATACAACTACCCTGCAAGCACAATATCAGCTCTGACAGGGACCTGAAAGGGTTAATTTCAAAGGTTTCTTTCATAACATTATACTATTGTTGTTTGTAAAGCTGGAGGCCTCAGTGTTCTCTTGTACTGAAGGACACCATTGTTATTTTGACTCCACCCACTGGTTGATGACATGTCATTTTAAATATCTTTAATGGACACTTTGAGTGTGTTAAAGTTTAAACAGAGGTGAAGTGTCGTTTCAGGGTTGAAGCCTTGCAAGCGGTCGTAACATTTTGTGTTTTCAAACTGAGCCTTTACACCGATGGTACGTGAAGGCATCAAACTGCGAGAAGGGAATGTTATTCTTAGCGTTGAGGTCGAAGATAAAAAAACCTGAAAGTGTTGCATGAAGTCTGCAGACCGACCCCTTCCATTATGTTGTTTTGTACCTGTGCCGATGAAGAGCATGTTGTACGCCCGCTGGTCCAAGGCGCTGACCCGATCCACCGCCAGCTTGGTGAAGTTGACCCCCTTGGTGAGCAGCAGGGGGCGAGCCAGAGCCTTGTCGTCCATCAGCGGGTGCTTCTTGGCAAAGTTGAGCGTGGCGTCGGGCAGCTGCAGGGAGCTGTTGTAGCCGGTGTCCCTGTCGGTGTTAGTGATGCACTGCAGAGAGGAAGAGGATGGAGGGAAATGGAGGAAGGAGAGGAATAAAGGAGAGGATGAAAGGAAGAGTGAGAAAAAGAGGAAAGAGGAAGAGGAGGAAACGTCTTAGCTGCAGCTGGCACAGGTTGGCATGGCTTGTTGGCTTCGAGATGACTGCCCTCCTCCCCTCCTTTCCTCCATCTTTTCTTTCACCTCCGCATGCCATCACATCTCTTTCTCTGCATCCTTTCATCCTGGATCATTACGTCCTTGGCTTTCTGTGTCGTGCCAGCTTTTTGCTCTTTTCCCAACGCTATAGTAACCCACGCCTCCCGTTTCTACCTCCCTCCTTCTTTCATTAAACCTCCTCTGCTCTCTCATCTATTCTTGTTATGCACAAAGCAGAGAGCTGTATAAAACCCTTTCTCTTTTTTTTTTTCTTTGGAAAATATTGAAATGACTAAACATCATGCATCATATTTGTTCATCACAGATGTCTCAGGTCTCTTACCGATCCAGGCCGCGGGGCGGGCACAGCTCCGGTGTAGCGTCCCCACCTTTGTGATGCCTCTCTGTACTCCTTGTAGGATCCTTCAAACACCTTCTTCACGTCGCTGATCTGGTACTGACACACCGCCGACACGTCCACGTCGCCCCTGAAAGATGGCGGCAAGGTGAGAAATAAGTGATGTCTGGCAGTAATAACTGACAGACAGATTTCCTAACATCGGCTTATGGAAACCGTGACTTTGCAGGAGCGAGAATCTCCTGCTAGACAAGTCTGACATGCAGAAATAAGAAATGTAATTCAGACAGATAAAATACACATCTCTTGTTTCTTAAAGGCATCGAATATAAACTAAATCTTTAAACATTTTTCCATAAAGGTCACATTTCCCCATCCTCTTCAAAAAGTTAAATAAGTCTCAGAGCTCCTCAAAACATGTGTGTGAAGTTTCTTGTTCTAAATCCACTCTGATCCTGTATTTGATCATGTCTATAAACCCCTCTATTTCAGCCCTGCTCAGAACAGGCTGTTTCTGTGTCTGTAGCTTTAAATATGTAAATGAGCTGTGTTTGACCACGCCCCCTCTCTGGAAGGGCTTGGGTGTACTCGGTCTTTCTCGCTCCATGTCCTATTGTTTACTGTGAGAAGGCAGACTCAGAGGGTAGAACAAACACCTAGCTGTGGGAGTGTCACCCACCTGGGGGAGGGGCTACTGCCCTTTGTGATGTCATGAAGGGAAAATCTCCAAACGGCCTGTTTGAGCACACATTTTCTGAAAAGTGGAGCAGGCAAAAGGCGGAGAGGATGGACTTTTCTCATCATTGGGGGGTTTGTAGACGGACTACAGACACATATTAGTGTTAGAGAAACATAATATATGACCTTTAAGACTAATATGACAGCCTGAACTGTCCTTTATTCAGTGAGCCAAAAACAAACTGCTTTAAGCAGAATGATGTACAAACTGAAGTTCATGTAACTCACTTCCTTGATAGGCTGTAGAAATCAATCAGTTTGTGCTGTGACTGAAGAAATGCATTTAATTGAATGGTAAGGTTGTGTTTGTGCAATTTAAACGTTTTTTTTTTTCCAACCCTGATTTTAAAACCCAAGTGGATAGAAGTGAGTATCGACGCATGACCGCAGCACATTAACTCACCCTCGCTCTCCTCGTCTCGTAAATAGATTTGACTTTCAGGCTTTTTCAGTCGTATGAAAACAGTTTTTTTTTTCTGGCTCTCAAACCGAGTCACTGACAAATTAATACAACGACATAAAGTTAGAAATGAGAAAAACTTTTTACTCTGAGAAGTGAGAAATACATTTTAAAGATTTATTTTGCCTTTATCTGGCTAGATCAGAGGACAGAGTCGGAAATCTGGAGAGAGAGAGAGAAAGAGATAGAGAGAGAGATTGTGGAATGACATGCAGGGAAGGTGCTGCAGGTCCAATTTGAACCTAGGTCGCCAGCTTTGAAGAAAATAGGACGACACTAACCGAGACCAAGACATACCCAAGACCAGAGTGCTCTGAGACCGAGACAAGACCAAGACCATAAATATAACTGAAAACTCCTCAACTAGTCTACAGGATTTCACTCTCTTAGACCGTAACACCGGGAAAGTTGTGGCTGTAACTGGGGGATAGAAATCTAATTATAAATAAATTGAAGTTATTTGTTATTTTAGAAAGAGGAGTTTTCCTTCTAATTACAGTTATGACGTGGAAAAATAACCTGTCAGTGGTGGTCTTGACCGGTCTTGATTTAAAAAACCAAAGTCCACCTAGTCTGAGGCTGAGACAAGATTCATAAAAATGCTTTCGATTCAGATACGAGACCTCAAAAAGTGGTCTCGAGACCGATTTCAAGTACTACAACACCACTATAACCTCCTTACATGGGGGGACACCAGGACTATTCAACTATATTGTTCAGGGGGTCACATTTTCAGAGAGCTAAGGACCAATTGGCCAGACAAGCTAGCCCACCACAGTAGTACACAAGCTTGTGATAGGCTGCAAGCACAGGACCGAAGATGTTCTATTAAACGGGAGCGCCGTGCTGTTTTTAAAACTTTACTGTGGCAACAATGACAGTTATTCACAAGCTTTCCCCTGTTTATTAGTTGCTTTTTTTTAAATTGTAAAAAGAACCGATCGGGCCAGTCTTATGTCATCTGCGGGCTGGAATTGGCACCTGGGCCGCCAGTCGAATAGGTCTGCGCTACCCCAACAGCGTCCCAAGAAATACATTTCTAACAACAGGTATATCAGGATGTTTGTACAGACATATTGCAGGCGTTTGTTGAACGGGTCATAAAGAGTACATCGCTCCACTTTGACTCACAACAGAGACAGAGTTTTGAATGTTTTTTCCTTCAAAGCTGTAGATAAAAAGAAGAGTTTGCTTTCACATTCAGGATCAGCATGTTTAATGTGCAGCACCTCCCTGGGTGTTAAGGTGAATATAAAAACCAAAGGACACTACCGACTTCTTAGCAAGTTTAAAGCTCTCCTATTCAGTCAGATTATGGCTCCAACTCCCAGTCATCATTTACATAATGTCCAATTATCTTAATGTTATCTCTATCAAAGCTGGGGGGCTTTGAGGAATCCCCCAGCCAGTCACACAGAGAAAAAAAAAGGATTAGGACTTTTCTTTTTTTCGGAGACAGTAGGAGCGCTGAATGAAGAAACAAAGCTTGAAGTTCAAAGCAGCGTCTCTTTGCGATAGGATATCTTATTGAAGAGCACAAAAGACTCACTTCAAAGGGCGAGACGCAGAGAGACGACAAAGTGTCCAACTTTCCTCCCAAAGAAAACCTCCTGCCCTCGCTCACCAGCTTTGTTCATAAGTAACTCATCCACATATTACAGTTATGTAGCCAATCCCTATCCCACAAATAAAACCACAATCATCAAAACAAAGTCAATATAGTCACGACCCTTATTGTAGTTTGAATTAAGTTCCCTTTAAGGTCCAATCAGTGAGATGTGTAGTGAGTGAAATGATAAAGTACCTTACTATCTGATCATTAAGGAAACATGCTATGTTGAAGTGCTGGCTTCTCTGACAACAATGCAGCAGCCAGTATGTCCTCCTTCTAACTTTAGATTCTGCTCCTGAATGCTCTGGATTTGTTTGGACCAGAGAAGGTAGGAGGTTTTAAGACACACCCCCACACGGCTGTTTTGGACGCCCCTCTGTTTGCCAGATATGAGAGCAGTTATCAGGTCAACAGGTGTTGCAGCGATGGAAGCGGTCAAGAGAAGTGGTTCAGATAGAAGTGATTGTACCCGACCTAAAAAGCCTCTGCATGTTTCTAATAAGCTCCACGAGCAGAAACGTGCTCAAACTAGGATCAATATTGGAGATGATTTTGAAAAATGGAGAGAGGTTAGAACACAGAAAGGTTTACAGACCCATGCAGAGCTGGATAAACACTGAAGCTTCAGTGTCACCACATGGTGACCTGCATGAACATCGACTCTAGAGAGGAGGGGGGGTGGGGACAGCTCTCTATGGTGTTTAGCATTTTGGACTGCAGTACCCTGTTATTATTCCTGCTACATACTACTATCGCTTTGCATCGTGGGAAACATTTGCATTGTGGGACACATTTCACGAGGAAGACTGGTCTGATGCATGATGCAATATTTTTCCCAAATCAGAACAACATCCAGGTATTTTTAACATACTTCGGATCTCACATTATTTTGCATACGGCATTTTGTCCAAATCAGTACGATCAAGGCAGTTTAGAAAACAGCTTTGGACTCGTGTGATGAGGTCATGTCCACCGCTGGTTATAGATAAAGAGCGAAGAAGAGTGGACGTCAGCAGAGTTTGTTTCTCTGATCAGCCTCACTTCTGTTCATTCAATGATATTTACTGCGTGGGCTGTAAAAAATAACGAAGGCTTTGATGAATTTCTGCAGAGATGACATAAACTAGTCGGCTCATGGCGCTTAAATTGGAAGATATAACAAGTAATGGGTTCATTTTAAATAATTTGATTCAGCCGACGAGTCTTACACTGTTGATGGAGTGTTTTTAAAAAGCTTGGAGACTTTTAATGGAAATGCATCCTCGTCTTATTGATGTCTGCAGCGGAGGTTCATCATCATCCTGAGTCAGGTTCAAACAACATCAAGTTCATGTGACATTAAACCGCTAATAAATCCAATAAAACGTGCAAGCACTCTTGAGTTTTTTCCACTTTAGAATCACACACATTACAGTCACTTAGAGGCATCAAGTGCATGATTGGAGCTTTCATATCAGAGTGGCTGGCTGACACAAGGTTTTTAAAAATGAGTATCTGACATGTTGGTGCTTAGGATGAATATCACAAACACACAGTTATCAAGTTTCTCCAGAAGTCGCCTTGACTCACCACTGGGCGTGAAAGATGCCGTAGAAGGTGGTTCCCTTCCAGTCCTGGCCCGGCAGCGTGAACACGGCCCTGAGGTTGTTGAAGGCGACGTGGCGCTCGGGGAGGGAGCACACCAGCCGGGCTTTCTGGAAGGTGGTCCACTTCTTCTGCAGGGTCCTGGTACCACCAAGATCCCCCTGTGAGAGGAAACATCAGTTCTCATCAACATCTGCTATCGATGGTAAATGGACTACTCAAAGCGCTTTTAACACCGCAAGTCACACCTCATTCACACACTGATGGTAGAGGCTGCTGTGTAAAGAGTCCATCAGTATTAACTCATCCATTCATACACATTCACATGCCGCGGAGTAAGCAGTGGGAGCAACTTGGTGTTAAGTGTCATGTGGCTGCAGGAGTTGGGGATCGAACCCCGACCATCTGGTTGTGAGAGAACCGACTCTACCAACCGAGTCACACCTGCTGATTAGTGTGCTCCAAGTAGCCACACCCAACAGATCTCAACAGATGTCACTGCATAGTGCTCCTGCTGCTTCATCAGCGGTGTGTGAATGTGTATGAATGGATGAGTTAATACTGATGGACTCTTTACACAGCAGCCTCTACCATCAGTGTGTGAATGTGTATGAATGGATGAGTTAATACTGATGGACTCTTTACTCAGCAGCCTCTACCATCAGTGTGTGAATGTGTATGAATGGATGAGTTAATACTGATGGACTCTTTACTCAGCAGCCTCTACCATCAGTGTGTGAATGTGTATGAATGGATGAGTTAATACTGATGGACTCTTTACTCAGCAGCCTCTACCATCAGTGTGTGAATGTGTATGAATGGATGAGTTAATACTGATGGACTCTTTACACAGCAGCCTCTACCATCAGTGTGTGAATGTGTATGAATGGATGAGTTAATACTGATGGACTCTTTCCTCAGCAGCCTCTACCATCAGTGTGTGAATGTGTATGAATGGATGAGTTAATACTGATGGACTCTTTACTCAGCAGCCTCTACCATCAGTGTGTGAATGTGTATGAATGGATGAGTTAATACTGATGGACTCTTTACTCAGCAGCCTCTACCATCAGTGTGTGAATGTGTAGATGTGACCTGCGGTGTAAAAGAGCTTTGAGTAGTCAGAAGACTAGAAAAGAAATATACACGCTCAAGTCCAAATTTGACCACGTATGACGGCACTGGTTGTGTTCAAAGGCGTAAGAGACTACGCGAGGCCGAACGTCTCTGCTCAGTTCCTCTTTTATCTCACAGTTCTTAACTTGTACTTATACAGAGGTGCTGCTTGTCAACAGGCAAGGCAGGTGACTGCTTGGTGCCCCAGACCAGTAGACAAACTTAAACCAAAGCAGAGTGCAAATTCTGCAACGACAGTAGGAAACCTCCCTAAAGGGGACCCCATTAAACAGCACTCACTTTCTTTCCCTGCTAAATGTAGCATGCACTATTGCTGTGAAAACCAAAGTTTATTAGTGAAAGTCAACAAATACAAATGAAGAAAAAAAACAGGAAGAGAAAAAAAAAAAAACAGGAAGCGAGAGGAAGAGGAGTAATCGTCAGGTCACTGTCAGACATAATAGTGATGAAGGTTGGAGGGCGCCCTAATTGATTCTTGTCTAGGGCCCCAACAGACTCGCCGCTGTACTTATACCCCTCGACATATATGCCACCGCCTCTTAAGTTTTATTGTCCTCACCGCCTGGATACCAAACAACATCTCTGTATAAACATGTCAGTGAATTTGTTCCCTGTGAATCGTCTCAGTGAACCTTTTTCCTCGTTGAACAAGCCTCTTTAGAAGCACCGAGACCCTGAAATGTCCGAGGGTCCATCTGAAACGCAGGATAACAACAACGCTAATGTTGGATAAATCAATGCACGCTGCAACATGCTTCATATATATTGATGAGAAGTGCTTTTATACAGTATTCAGAGGGCTCAGAAGAGGGACCGTCTGCCAGATATATCTCATTGCGATTACCTCAGTAATTGCAGAAGCTGTAAAAAGGAATTAAAAAATGCAAATGCACACATCACAGTGGTGAGATTTCAACATTTTGCTTCTGTTGCAACAGCAGTAACAGCACGCCGGGCTGAATAATTCACAGCTCTGCTCTCCGTCGTGTGAGAGCATCTGTCTCTCATTTCATTCAAAGAGCGTTGTTCATCAGCGCGCAGACATTAAAGGGCACGTCCAATAAAAACTGAGCATATATTGTGCACTTGATTACACACATGTCCTCAGACTGTTAACAGTCTGTCTCTGTTCGGCTCAGTTTAAAGGTTATTGAGATGATGTTGTAGATGTAAATGTAACGAGACACATGATGTTTCTGACGTTGACTGATATCAAAGTCACACTGAATGACGCTCCTCTCAACAGCAAGAAGAACTGATACTCCTGTTCAGGCTGCTGTTTCCAGCCGCCTTATTTACATCACTGTGACATTTCGCCTTCAAGTGATCTGTACTGTGTTTGGAGTCAGCAGAAAGAAGAAGTTCAATAATGACAAAATGTCAACCACAATGTATCCCCAAGTAAAAGTATACCATTGGAAATTTTAAATAATAAAGCTCAGAATGTTGAATATTTGGAAATCTTCATCGTAATGTCAATCTTAGCTAAGGTGAAAAGCACTTCCTGTTTCGGCAGCTCTGGTACAGGAAGTACATTTCCCTGTTTTGAATCCTCTATCGACATTTCAGAAAATCCTTATTCAAAATAATTACATTACCACCTGATGTCCCTGATCAGCCTCCACCATCAGAGTGTGTCGTCCCCACAACATTTTTATCATTAAATTTAGGATGGATTAAGTTTGTGTTAACCGTCATGGGCCTGTCATCTTGCTAGCCAAACCCATCGACTCTATAAGTGGAACATCAAAGTGCAAGCCTCTTTCTGTTAACAAGCTTTCTAAGTAACGGCCGGCTGTTTCATCAGCCGCACAGTTTTGTTTTTACATATATAGCCGTAGTAAAACAACTTTGCAGATCACCTCCTTATATGGGCATCTCCTGTTGAAGCCCCAAACTGTTACCAACTGCTATTCTCACATAAGCACTAAATGTTTGGTACCAGCTGCCAAAAACAGCTGGAGAAAAACAGAAAACATCTGGCTCCAAGCCAAGCATGCATGAATCCAAGAGTCTGCACTCAGAACTAGTTTGGGGGGTTGCTAAATCTGTCCCTTTGCACAAGAGAATCCAACACACTTTGAATTAGTTTTGTCATGAATTACTACCCTTATTGAATACGTTTTTAATGAAGTACTAAGGTGTTACCTTGCAGACGCGGGCCACTCGGGCCACAGTGAGCTCGGTGTCACACTCCAGCTCCAGCGCCCGCTCGCTGAAGAAGAAGTAGATCTTGTCGTCGTCGCCTTCTTTGCTGCCACTGCTCTCCCTCACCAGGGCCGAACCCACAAAGTCCGGCTCTGCACACACACACACACACACACACACACACACACACACACACACACACACACACACACACACACACAGAGTAGTATCAGAAAGTGTATTTACACGCGATGGTAAAGACATACATCACACATAAGAATGGAGAATCTCAGCCTGCAGCTGTGTTGGGACTGAAACACACACATGAACGCACAAGTTTGACACCTCTGCTGCCCGCTCTCACCTCGCCATCTATTTTCTGTCATCACTCTCTCCTTGGCCTCATCTCTCCTCCAGTCTTTTCTCGCTCTCTGTCTCTCCAGTCGCTTCCTGTTAGCGGCCCATTTTCTGTCCCTCGCTTCCTCGAGTCTCTCTCTTGACACTCAGTCCTCATTAGGGTTGTGAATGATATGTTTTTTTTTTTTACATACGCAGAATATCTTTCACTTGGGCTGCTCAGGGCTTTTGTTTCAAGCATTTTCAAGAAATTGTTTTTTATTTTTAACAATCACAAGCGCACATTTGTCCCCCAGAAGGACCGTTATTTTCAGCGTGAAGGCGTCTAAAGAATCACAGGATGCCCACAGAAACGGCCAATTAACCGAGACAAGATTCACTCGTTCCTCTAGGTGTAGTGTTTAATAACAGTTTTTAAGCATGCATCATAAACAGACACAAACCTGGCCTCATCTGTATGCTCCTCCGTCCTCCCCCTTCCATTCTCCATTCCTTTCACCTCGCCCTCTATCTTTCCATCGCTAATCCTAATATCTGTTCTTTCATTGCCCATTTTCTTGCTGTGACTTCATCCTCTCCTCTCTCATTCATTCCTCCCTACACTTGGCACGCTCCTTCCCTCATCTCGTCCCTCAAAGAGATAACAATCCTTCTGCTGCGGCCAAGTCCATGCGCTTCATTTCCTGAAACTCATTACTGGTTATTTTGCATGTTTCTGGCTCTTAATTTTTAATGAAAAATTGGTAAAAGAAGTCAATGGCATTATCAGCCTGAAGTTATATATGAACAGATTTGATTTGTAAACGTTACCAGGTCCTGGAAAATGTTTGACCGAGTGCTGTCAGCATTAACGCCTTATTGGCTATGCCATCAAGGTCCCAAATAACCTCATCATTAATCTCATGCTATTTTGTCCCTTTAGGCGCACCATAGCTAGACCTCCTAAGTGTCTCCCTGTAGTCACAGTGATGGAAAAGAAGGACACTGCTCCATCTTTGAATGTCTCATTTCACTTTCACAACACTGATGAGCTCTTTATGGTTCAAACAGTTCAGCTATAGATGCAAGGAACATTTCATTAGTTTACTGTTTCCAAGAAAGAAAGAACGTCAGTAAACACTCATATAGGGCTTAATTGTCCTGTACCATGCTGAAGCATGCTCGTCCCCCCTCCTCACCCCCCCCCCCCTAACCGGGCCTCAGCATGGCCTCTTGTACATAATGTCCTTAAACAACACATGCATGACTTTATGTTATTATGAAGCATGCTTAGTTTACAAGACGGGGAATTCAAAAATGAAAAGAGACAGTCGACTCTACGTCTGCACATCAGAGAACAACACAGAACATGACAGCTACTTTGCTGACTTTGAGGCTTATTTTGAGTCTTTTTAGTCAGATACAGACAGAACACTCCGGGATCGATTAAACTTAATATCCACGTTGTGTACCCGCTCTTGTGTTTGTGCATGAGAAACCGTACAATGCTGTGACAGGGCCACGGAAGTGTATGAACGGAGCACTCACACTAGACAAACTGCACTTTTGAGGTCAAATGTGCTTGACCACAGTACAGGTTGCCTAGTGTGAGTGCGTCCTAAGATAACAGAGAACTCAGCAGAAATTTGTTTTGCTTTTCCAAATATGTTTTTTTGGAATCCGCCGCCAAACCATGTATTGTCAGAACAAAATCACTTTGTAATTAATCATTTTATATAAATCCAACGCTGTGCTATCACACCCCAGCTAATCAGCTAAACTGCTTCCAAACTTAAGTATTCTAAGAGACCTTAAAAAAGTGATGAGTGAAACAAAAAAAAAGTTTTCGTCCGTCTTTGCTCTTTCATTTGGCAGGTCCAAACCGACTTACCATTGAGCCAAGCAGGCAAGTATTCACTCTTCATGCTGTAGTGCTGTTGGCCCAGATTCCTCAGGATGACTGGCTCTGTACCCAGGAAGTTGTTGAGTGTTGCAGAGTACAGCTCCTTATCTGGACAAACAAAAATGAAGCTTTAGCTCGAGCCTGTATTTCAGCTATTGTGCAGGCTCACAATGAGAGAAGGTCAGTGGTACAGTGGGGGACACAAAAGAGCGTGGAGAATGGGTGCCTGTAGGTTTAGTGAAGTGAATGCAGCATGCAAAGTTTAATTGTACTTCTGGGCTCTGAGTGTGCATCCGTGTGGCTACAAAACACAGATGGGAAATGCTGCAGGAGCGTTTTGTGGTGATTTGATGGACATTTTTATGCCTCTGTTCGAGCTGTAAAAAACATGGAGCTGTTCACTTTAATATAAAGGCTGCTGAGATGGAACAACAGGAAGGAGATGACTGTGTTGGTGTTGTTATCAGTGTATTTCTTTTCTTTTTTAAGATTTTTTTGGGCTTTTGTGCCTTTATTGGAGAGAGATAGGACAGTGGATAGAGTCAGAAATCAGGGAGAGAGAGAGTGGGGAATGACATGCAGGAAAGATGCCAGATTTGAACCTGGGCTGCCTGCTTGGAAGACTACAGCCTCCATACGTGGGACGCGCGCTCTAACCACTGCGCCACCAGTGCCCCATTATCAGTGCTTTTTAAACTTATCGTTCAAGATGATTGCTACAACACATCAGAAATACTTTTAAAAAGAAAAAAAAAGAAAAAAACAGGATCGTCCCTCTATGGTATGCATGCAAAATATCAAATAAGTACAGTATGTGCTCTCACACAGCTCTACTCACCCACTATCAGGCCTGTATGCCCCTTGGCAGGGTCATATGGACATTTACCCTTGCCATCTTCCAGGGCGGCCGTGTTGAGGGCAAAATAATCAGCATTCTGCACGCACACAAACACACAGTTGTTCATGGTCAGAGTGTATCGTGAACTACATGACACAGACGGCTGCAAGCTCTTTCTATTGCTAGAACCATCGCTATGCCCTCGCCATGTAGTCCTTTCACATCAGCGTCACGTACATGTACACAAAACACGAGGCAGCGTTTACACGCAGAGCTAACGCAGCAGGACACACACTTGTTGTTTTTTCTTCTTTTTCTTCTCACACAGAGGTTTTTACCTTAAGGTCAGAAGGCAGACATCTCACATTAACACCTGTCAAGCCTTCCTTCACAACAAGTCAATATTGAGGTAAACACACTGGTACACACACACACACACACACACACACACACACACACACACAGACACACATATACATACCACGTAGGTGCATTTAGGCTGGAAGGCGTAGGTGCCACAGGTGTAGAGATGCGTGTGGTTGTAGCTCTGCAGGAAGCGGATGTAGTTGAAGCACTCGGTCTGTGAAAGGGATCTGTGTTAGAAATCTTTCTTTAATTATTAAGATTTATTTTTGGGCATTTGTGCCTTTATTGGACAAATAGAACAGATGGAAATCAGGGAGAGAGAGAGAGAGTGGGGATGGACAAGCGGGAAAGGAGCCACAGGTCGGATTTGAACCTGGGCCGCCCACTTAAAGGACTACAGCCTCCATACATGGGACACGGGCACTAAAAACTGCGCCACCAGCACACCAGAATAATGTTATCTTTCTTGAGGAGAGATGGCCAATGCTATGAGTGTTATATAGCATATTTTCTCGTGACTTAATTTTCTCATAGTGACCAGCAGGGGGCAACTCTACTGGCTGCCCCTCGTCATAGACCCATTCCATAGCAACAGATGAAAAGATGAGCCAACTTCTGACTTGTTTTCTTACTTCAGTAAACATTTTCCAAAGAAGTTCTAATTTGCTTTTTTTTAAGTCTCCCTGATGCAACATGATGTTCAATTTGTGAACAATCAAGTCAAATTGAGATACCGCAGGGTTTCCTATGGCCAAGCGGAAACCTCCAGGGTTGAAAAATGAAGCCATTTACGTGGTCATATATTTTTACACTGTCGTTGACTCAGTTTTTTTTTTTTTTTGCTTTTCATGCCTCCATGGCAGAGATAGACAGTGGATAGAGTCAGAAATCACAGGGAGAGAGAGAAGGGAAAGGGGCCACAGGTTGGACCCAAACCCAGGGTACACACAGCCTCCGCACATGGTGGTGCATGCACCAACCAATACGCTACCGGTTAAAATAAATAGAAAAGGGCCTTGTTACACTTGTGTTAGCGGGTGAGTCAGCGTTCGCTAACCTTCACTTCTCTTCAGATTATCCCTCTGGTCCAAAACGCGGCCACTACATGACGACAGCCACGCGCAACGAGACGGTCCGCACGCCATCGCTAACGTCATTGTTATGTCATCTCATTACATACTATTTATTTTTCATCAGGCAGGCTTTCAGTAAGCCCTGCAGAACACAGATTGCCCCTAATGCTCCACTATGACTCTTTTTAAATCCTCGTTCACCTGAAATAACTCAAAAAATTCTCTGAATGCGTTCATGTTAAGAAGATAAGACCTGTTTCCTAATGTACAAACTGACAAACACAAGGAGACTGAACATGTCAGCCTCCGAGATCTACGTTTTTAATCTCACGTCTCATGTTTCTGATCTCACTCTGTCCTGTTATACAAGTGTTCCCTGTCCTTAATAGACGATGTGTTGATGCAACCACATTATCTCAGTAACCTCTCAACTGAATCCGAAAGCGACAGATTGTTTCCATTCAAAGGATATGTGCCCAATTAACTGCATAATATATTCAGCGTTTTATGGGAAGTGGCCTTTTAATGCCTGCACAGTGATGAACAATAAAGCTCTTTGAGTTGAATTGCAAACAGATGCTCACACACGATGCTAGATGAATGAATAATTCAGTACATATCCAGTGGATGCCTCGGCGCCAAAAACAATATCTGTAAGTGACGATTGAGAAAAAATAAAGGGAGTGATTTTATTTTTAAATGCATTTTTTTTACAGCGCAATGGCAATCAGAGAGGATAATCAGGGTGACATATGTCTGGCAGACGGTATAAGAGACTCAACATTAAAACTCATGCAGGCTGCGTTAACAACATGTGGAGCTTCTTACACATTAAGTCAATTCCTGCCGTATAGAGAACAGTAAGAGTTTGAGGGCTGCAGATATTTAAGTCGCTGACTGAAAGAAGAGGTGTATCCTGTTAAATGTTCTGCACAGCTATCCCGATCACAGCCATATGGAAGAAATGCATGTTCAGTTTTTACTCACACTGGAGTATTTTAACACTCCAGCGATACTAATTCCTTGACGTGTTTTGCTGTTTTGCTTTCTGCAGAGGTGTTGCCGCTACTGCACTCCAGTGAACTGTTTCCCCGTTCGCTTTCACACCACATCAAAAGTTCCTGTGGTGCAAGTAAGAGAGGTTTTTAGCCCCGTTTCCAAAAGCTCTTTGTGTTTCTATAAAATATTAAAGGAGGGCTTCTTGAAAATGCACATTATGCTCCCAGTGAGAAGCTCTTACTGAGAGCAACATGTTGAGCTGGGACCAATTTACTCCCTGCGTTTACGAGTGGAGCATCGCTGATGGAGAGAAGGGAGGGAGGCTGAACTTTTTCAAACTGATGCTGATTTAGGCATTGCTCCGCTGTGTTAATCTCATTTTAGAACATCATGAGATTTGTGATTGTGATTGTGACATCTGCTCCTCTGACGTCAATACTTTATCCGTTTAAAGGTCACATATTATCTGAATTACACTTCCCCATGTTTGTCTAACTCTAATATGTGTCTCTAGTCTGTCTACAAACCCCCCAATGATGAGAAAAGTCCATCCTCTCCGTCTTCTGCCTGCTCCACTTTTCAGAAAATGTGTGCTCAAATAGGCCGTTTGGAGATTTTCCCTTCATGACATCACAAAGGGCAGTAGCCCCTCCCCCAGGTGGGTGACACTCCCACAGCTAGGTGTTTGTTCTGCCTTCTGAGTCTGCCCTCTCACCGTAAACAATAGGACATGGAGCGAGAAAGTCCAAGACACCCAAGCCCTTCCAGAGAGGGGGCGTGGTCAGACACAGCTCATTTACATATTTAAAGGTACAGACACAGAAACAGCCTGTTCTGAGCAGGGCTGAAATAGAGGGGTTTATAGACATGATCAAATACAGGATCAGAGTGGATTTAGAACAAGAAACTTCACACATGTTTTGAGGAGCTCTGAGACTTATTTAAACTGAAGAAGAGGAGGAGGATATGTGACCTTTAACCTTTATAAGAGACTAATAGAGCTCAGTGTTCAAGCAGGAAGACTGTTTTTATTCGCTCACACATTCATTCTTTTCTTTCATGTAACTTAAGCCACTAGTTAGCTTAGCTTAGCTTAGCATAAAGAAGGAAGTTGTCACTTCCCTGCACCATTAATGGTAAACATGTCCTACATAATTTTTCCATAATATAAAAAATAAAATAGTAACTTCCTGGGGTGTAATTGTTACTGTGTACACATACTTGGCCCTGAAGCTTATTCTGAAGAAGCTGCAGCATCAGCATCAGCATCTTTATCACAGATTCTTCCTGCAGCAGCAGGGCTTCACCTAATGTCTATATATCTTTTAAAAACATGTGAAAACCCCTCCCAGAATTGAAGCACCTTAAAAGCTGCTGATGCTAACCTTGTCTGGGAGATGCACTTCGCTCCGTGCTAATGTAATGGCTGGACTTTTTCCCAGTGTGCGACCGCAGACGGACTTGACAAAGTGCAGTGAGTTATGCTGCTCTCATAAACTCCAGTCTTAAAAACTACAGCTGTGAGCGCCCTTGAGCCAGGTAGGTACCCCCCCCCCCAACAACATATCTGACACCCTGTCACCTACAAACCAATGTTACCTGGTTGTTCTTCCCTTTGGCGACACACTCCCTCTTCTTATCCTGTGGAGCGGGCCAGTCGATCTGTAGAGAGAGAGAGACAGATGTGATGTGGGCAACGCTCCGTGAAAGATGCTCTCTGCCTCTGGTCAATGTCTTTTATACTATGGAGGTATATTATGTATCAATAAATCATTTTTATCTTATGACACAGACCATAAGAAAGGCTGCATGCTTAACTCAATGTGCAAATACATTTAAGACCTAGTCCACATAAGGCGGGTATTTTTTTTAAACTGAGATTTTCCTCCTTTGTTTTAAAAAAATAATCCTGTCCTCACACGCTCAGTTCTCAAAAACATCTTTGTCCACATGAGAACGAAAAACGCAATTTTACGGCTGTCATGGGAAAGCCAAGTTAACAACGATGACCTTGACATTCCTCTGCAACAACCATTTCATTTACAAAGTCGTCCATTTAGGTGTCTCTGCTCGTCAACATGGTGGGAGAGTAACTGTGTCATGTATGTGTGAGCATGTAAAAAGTCCACTTAGCAACGTTAGCACCAGCGCTAGTTTGGCTACGTCCGCCATCGCACTCAATCACATGTGAACTCAAGTGACAGCGTGGCACGATGACGTCAAACTGTCTTCACATAAACACCTTAAACTGAGTTTCTGAACATCTTCACCCTGGAAGGAGTTTTACTAAAGTTGTCTGTTTTTGTAACAGAGCGAAGTTTTCAGTGACCTTAAATGCAGTTTGTGTACGAAAGGTCAAATCATGCAGAAAAAGATACATTTTCAAAAAACACCCGTCGGCGCCATATGTGTGGAAAACCTCTGAGCCCCCAAAATACAGGACACTTTTTAGTTTAGTAAGAAATGAACAAATCAATATCACTTTTTAGAGATGTACAAGGTGATAAGTGATTATGTGAGCTTTTTCAAACCAGCAAAAGAATGAAAAAGGAAAACAGGAGATGAAACGTATAACATCTCACCCTGAACTTTAAAAAGCTGTCTCACTTATCTTACTAAAAAAGTACTGCTAGGAGTTGCAGGGACAAAGCGCCCCCACAGAGACCGGGCTCCTTGGCAGGCAGCCCCATCAAACACTCTCTCAGGTAGTCACTGTGTGGTCCTTCCTGCAGCAAATCCCCTAATGATTATACCATTGTTTTACAGCCTCGCAGACGCTCTGGCAAGAGACTGTGTCATAATGCACCTGTGTGTGTCGCTTTTTTGTCCTCTGCCACGTTCAACTCTGCTGAAAAAAAAGAGCAGGAGGGGAGCCAATGAAGAAGAAATGTGCGTGCTCATCTGCACCACTTTATGTGCACACACTCGCTTTAGCCTCTGCTTTTTTACCATTATTTCATCGGCTCCTTTTCTTTAATGACCGTGTGACACATGGCTGATCTCGGCTGCGTGGACTGAGGTCCAAAATATGAAGTGTGTTTACTAAGAGGTTTCCACACCATTAGAAATAATTACACTGGTCATTACAGGCAGATCGCTGCTGCAGACTTGCTATTAAACTCTGATATACTCGACTGGAGACAAACCAACAGCAATCAAACAATGGAGGTTATCACGGCCCGCATACTGAACCGCGAGATAAACTGTGTGTTTAAAAGTAGACTTATTATGTGTTGACATTTTTAAAGCATTTCAATGTACTGCATAAAGAAGATACCAAATGCTCTCCCTCCATCTCGCTGCTCAGCTGATTATGAGCATTTATTCTTTAAGTAATCAACCACCTCCACCACCAGGGTCTAGACTCCATCAGGGGAGTATCCTATCCTGCTGTAGGCCTCATTAACCCTCCGAGTGCATGAAGTTGTAATAATGGATTCTAATCCCCAAAGACTTTGCAAATGTATTTCCTTAATTGTTAAATAAATAATTGATCATTCTTAATTAAGTCTCTCCTGATTGAAACGTCTTCAGTTTAACCTCTGACCGTGGCGGTCGCTGTAGAGATGACAGACTTAGGATCGTCTCGTTTTTTTAACTGATGCACTGAAAGTTAAAAGGAGGCAAAGTGACAGCAGCAGTTTATCGTCTCTAAAATTGAGTCTCAGTCACTTTAGTCACTCTCTACCTTTATTATCTCATCTTAAGAAATCCCCTCGTTAATTTGCTCCACACAGACCGAACACACATCCTGCAGCAGTGAGTGGACAGGTGGCTAACAGACTGATTGCCGGACAAAGAAATATCTGCAGAGTTAATGTCCCCTTGCCTCACATTAAGGGGACAGCACTAAACAATGAGAAACAGCACTTAGATGGCTCTTCACTCGAATAGGGATTTCAGACGGGCAGAGAACTTCTGAAAAACTTTTGAAAACGACTAAAGCGGGATATTTACGCCCCATAAGGTAGTCACAGAGGCGTAATGAGGGGAAGATGGTGGCAGTGTGTAACGGAGGTTGGCAGGGCAGAGCAGCACTGTTTGTGTTTACACGCTGTGCCTCTTGTTCCTCTGCAACGGCGTGACACAATGTGGAACCATGCACAAAGGCGTAATGATGCTGGATCTTTGATATGGTCTTGTTGCATAATTATGTAAAGGGCAAGATAAATGTTACTGTGAGTGTCTTAAAGATATACATGAGAAACTTTGTGTGAGCGTCAGTGCAGGGAGTCATTTTGTTAATGAGTGAAAAGGTCTCAAATCTTGAAAATAAAGTAAGAACTTTTTATTTTCGGGGGTGGGGGGTTACCTCCCTGGCTCTATTACACGGCTGCTTGATTTCAACACTTTAAAAAGCCGGTGCTTACATGTTCTCTCGTGTGCAAACGCTTTTGGCCACTAACAAATGAGTTTAAAAAAGGCCTTTAATTGGACCCTGGTTCTGCATAGAGAACACGGAGTCGCTCACTAAAGTGTAGGGATATGAATACGTGAAGCAGATATGAAATGAGTTTTTATCACATTTAGCACCTTTAAAATGCGTCTGTGTTTTATGTAGGGACCAGAACTTTGTGATGTAAAAGGGAGCGTTTCAGAAAGGATTAAAAAAAGAGAAAGTGCAGAAATACAGACATGAAAGTAATGAGGAGAGACAGCGAGTATGACAGCAGCGAAAGACATAAAGCGAGGTGCTGTTAAAGGAAGAAAAGGAGGGGGAGAGGGGTGAGGCGGTGATGGGCAGACGGGGACAGAGGGGGACGGACTACTCCCTCGTCCTCATGCTGTCATTTCTCTGTGTTGGCTTCTTCCCTGCACATTGCACACCAGGGGCCAACGACAGGTGGTGCTATCATTACTGTAAGACCCATAACCCTCAAACCGCCACTGCCTGTGTGGTGTGGTGTGTGTGTGTGTGTGTGTGTGTGTGTGTGTGTGTGTGTGTGTGTGTGTGTGTGCAGTGTGTGTGCATCTAATAACTGCTCATTAAGGAGCTAAATCAGATAACAATCCCCTGAACTGCTGCAGGCTGCTCACTACACCTTCCCTGCATGGCTGTAATTGTATTGATTGCAATATGGACCAATTATTGAGGGAGAAAAGCGAAACCCAGACGGAGTCTCAGAGGCTTTGGCAGTCAACGTATGAATAAGGACTGAGTCAAAGGTATTTATAGTGAACAGGTTAGTCCCAGAGCAATCAGAGAGAAACAAGTAACTGCACATTAAAAAAGCAGGATAATGAAAAAACATTAGATAAAAAAAATAGAGCCAAAGTGTGTAATCGGCGGTGTCCTCCCACACAGTCACAGTGGATATGATTGTGCTGAGAGAAGTGAAACATGGAGCCAATAGCCGTACTCTTTACGATCTTTAACGTTGGCAGCTCACTAACACTATCCCTGTTGGAAGCATTTAGCAGCAGATGATATTTTAAAAAAACGTCCAACTTTGCAAATTGGTAGATTGGGTCCAAAATAAGTAGAAATACAAACACTCCACTGTTAGAGTAATAATCTTGATCTGAGAGTTATGGAGAGCGGCTGTGGCTCAGTGGAAGAGTCGGTCGTCTCTCAACTGGATGATTTGGGTTTCGATTATGAAGGTATTGTTGGAGCAAAACTCCTGAGCAAGTGTGATGGTGGAATTTGTACCAACTAGAAAAATAGTCACAAAAACATCCTGCTGTCGGCCTCGCTATCCCCCTGAGTACATGAAGTCATCATGACCGCGTCCAATCACCAAAGACATTGCATAATATCTTTTTAGTAGTTTCTACACAATGACAGAGATGAGCTGAGGTCCACTTCTGGAGAAACGGCGCTCGTGCATGTAAGTGAGGGGGCGTGGCTTTTGAGGGAGCACAGAGGGGAGGGGGTGGGTGCAGATGGAGCACTGAGGGAATGCTACTTTCAAAATCATGCTAGTTTTGGAAAATTACCAACCCTGTCTTTAAGTCTCTCCTGATTGAATTGAAGACACTGCTGGAATCCAGGACCGCTACATATATTTGTATCAGTTCACAGTAAGAACAAACATGTGGTAAAGTCACAGTTTGTCATTTTCAAACGCAGCCTTTTTAAAAAAAAAAAACCATCAAACTATAAAACAGATGCAGGTCAAAGGAGAAGCAAAACCACTTTGTAGCAATTAATATTTTTTACGATGGTTTGGACCCTTCGAGGAGGACGCTTAAATGCCCTTTGAGACGATATTAAAGCGCTTGACAAGTTCTTACATTAAAGCTTCGACAGGGCCTGAAGATTTAATAAAAAGACGGCCAGACCAATAAAGTACCAAACGGCTATAGTGTGACTCAGCGGACTTCATTATGCCATTATTTGCTTTTTTGATGATCTGCCAGCGTTTTGTATGTTTGTGTGTTTTGTGGGTTTGTAAACATCCTCGAGTCCATAAACGAGTTAAAGACGGACGAATAAAGGTCGACCCGCCCGTTAAGAGGCGGCAGAGAAAGTGTCTTTTCTCTCCTGCTAATCCAAGCAGGACCTCTGCAATGCTTCATGCTCCGCTGTAATAATGATATCACAGTTAATATCCTAATTGAATCGGGTGTGTTTAAATGGAGTGTTTGAAATGTGCCGTATTCAGGCGGCGTGGATGAGACGGAGCTCTTTGTTCCTGAAGCGTCCATCATGAAGCAGACTGCGATATTAAATCTTATGTCTTATCATTTAATTTCTTGCTTTTCTACAGAAGCCTCTCACACTGCGTGGGTGTTTGTGCTGACAGCCAGTCAGGGCGCTGATGTGGTTATAATTATTTTTTCTTGAAATCCTCTCTCTTCTCGTCTCTTTAACTTTTGTACATTTTAATCCCATTGAGTGGCAGAAAATAAAACCTTCAAAGTGTGTGTGTGTGTGTGTGTGTGTGTGTGTGTGTGTGTGTGTGTGTGTGTGTGTGTGTGTGTGTGTGTGTGTGTGTGTGTGTGTGTGTGTTACCTGTGGTCGGAGCTGTCTGCTGATGTCGTTGGGGTCCAGGGCGAACAAAGCCTCCCGCGCTCCGACGTACAGAACCCTCTCGTGGTCGGACAGAGTCAGCATGCTGTAGTTGCAGACTCCCTGGACGCTGAACCTCGCCATGCTGTCCAACACATCTGCACAGAGACACACAAGGACACGCATCGTTACATAACACATCCATCACATACAGCTGCAGAAAGACATCAGAGCCATTTCTGAAGGTGGATCTCGTGAAGGATGACAGAATTAAACCTGAGAAGAAAATGATAAACACTTTTCCAAATGTATTCATTTAAAGACAACACAAGTCAAGCAAATTTATGCACAATCAAACACGGAGTGATGGAGAAACAGCAGGATGTGAAAAGTAAAAAGTGTTGAGAAAAACAGGAAGGGATAAAAGCTAACGATTGGGCTATAAAAATCCACAGGCTAAGATATATGCAAAAAAAGCATCTTTATTTAAGTGATGGCTGTCCCACACCTGCAGAACCCCAAACCCCACCCTCCCTCCCTCCCCCTCCCCAACCCAAGGACCCCACAGATAAACCCAGCGTAACATAGCAAACAAATCATAACAAAGACGTTCCAACAAGTCACATTCTCTGTTTGAGCGTGGTGTATTTCTGACGCCCAGAATACCAAGCAAGAAACATCGACAGAATCCAACAGCCGGTTCTGTTCTGAAAGTTGAGTGTGGAGACCTCCATCTAGCCCATTACGCTCTGCCAATTAAAGACGTCTGATCCAACCTTCACAAAAGGGTCCTAAGACGCTGACTAGACTTTCTCCTCTGTCGCCCCCCGGTGGTGGAATGAACTTCCAAACTCCATGTGATCTGCAGAGTCCCTCTGCACTTTAAGAAAAAGCTAAAGACCCAGCTCTTTCATGAATACCTACTAACTTAATGATGATGGTCTCCATATTATTGATGATGATGATGGTAATGACGATGGTTTTTGTTTGATAACGACGACTTATAAGATGGTTTCTATACTGATTAGAGCTCTCAAGAACTGATGTCAATGTTGTGCTTTGCCTCTGGTCACTTCCTGTCAGCACCTGTGTGTCCAATCAGACTCAAAGCTGATTGTTTGCTCTTACTGACATTGTTCCCTTTTTTCTAGATCCTTGCTTGTGTTGTTCTTACTCTCTGATGTACGTCGCTTTGGATAAAAGAGTCTGCTAAGTGAATTGTAGAATTGTAGAATCTACAAGCTGTAAGTCCTTGATCAGTGGTGAGGCCAGCAAGGAAAAAAGACGTTTATGTTTAAAGGACCTCTCCAGGTTAGAGCAGTCATTAAGCAGGAAGAGACTTTTGTAAGAGCGGATAGGTTTGGCCAATATAGCAGATCAAATATTACAAACTTTCCTCCAGAAATCTGCGACCCCTGGGAGCCTGTGGACTGGTTTTTGGACTTCTTAGACCCGATGGAATCAGTGTCAGGTATCTCCTCTGCATGTGTTGTGTGAAAACCCGTCCATAATCTGGTTCTGAGTCTGCATTTGAACACTTCTTTTAAGTGTTTTTGTAAGCAACAGATTGTTGTTATTATCCTCGCAATGTCGTCATGGATTGAATCGTGCTCTAATACTTTGGTGAAAATTGTTTTTTTTTTCATGAGCGGCTCCTGCTATCAAAGCCTTTTCAATTCAAATTAGAATTGAATCAGACGGGCCCTGTCGTTCTATTAAATCTGCTCAAAAAGAGTTAAGCTTCTGTTCTCCTCCTCTTCTACCGGTGTGACGTACCGCTGTGCATCCTAAAACAATCCACTAACACTAGTCCTCGACTCAAAGATTATAGAAACAATTTTAGTGAGAAATTATCAAAGCAACATAAAGCTGAAGTTAGCACAACAAGCATGCTTTTTGTATTGAGAGCTCCCACATAACTCCTCATCATGCACTAATGAGTTTGCAGAAACCACCCAAGGTATCTCGCTTAAGAGATCTGCTGTAAACTATTCCTGCAGGAGGAACGCTTCCCAAGCTCAGTATTTACTCTGAGAACCTGCGGGGCCGAGGCCGGTCCTCTGGGCAGCTCTGATAACTTCCAGATCTGCACGTCATCCAGTGAGATAAGGTGTTCTTGTTTAGAGAGAGCTGTGCAAATAAACAAAGAGGCAGCGGTGATTTTGCACAAGCAGCTCTGTTTTGATGAAGAGAGAGCTTTTAAATAAATGGAGAGCTTGAAAACAGACGATGCAAACAAAAGGTATAGGACCGATAGAGATGTATGCAAAGTCAGCACAATCTGCTCAATCACAATCTTTTTTTAAAACATTTTTTTAAAGCGTCCATCAGCTTGGACCAGCTTTTAATGTGAGTCTGTCACGAAGCCAGATGTGGGGACGTTTTTGTATTCAGACGCTCGCTCAATAAAAGAAAATCCATAAAGACGGTCATTATTAGATTGAGAGAAAATCGGGCTGAGCTTGTTTTTTAGGGAAAAACAACCTCGATTGTATTTTGTCCTCAATTCAACACAGCTTCTCCACCAAAAAAAAAAAAATATTGTTAAAGGACTCATCCAATCAGCACGGCGGCGTTGAGAAAGAGCAGCTTAATCGGGCCAGACGGAGCATCTGCGTACAACAAAACAGAGGATTTAGAGCCGGGCTGAGTTGCATTACTGCAGAATGAAAGTGGGGATCTGAGAGACAAACGTGGACAGAATGCAAACAGCTTAGGATTGCTTATGAACGCGTCCTAATAATGGGAGTAAATCTGCAGAGGTGATGAGATTGTTCATTATCTGGGGGGGTGCACATTCAGATGCAGATCGCATTTTAATGCATGCTCCTAAATGAGGCCTTTTCCCTCTGATTAGACCATCGCTCAGACTGTTAACAGATATGTGAAACCCTCTTATTGATTCTTTAACATCACACAGCTGGATCTGTGTGATTTATCTCCGGGGCCTGTGGAATTGTATTTCGAGGAATATGCTCATATTTATTTTTTTAATTTTTTTTCATTTTCCTGCTCACACGCAGACACAAACAATCTCGAAAAAACAAGATTTTAGGACGACATCACAAAATGTTCTCTCTCTCCACGGTCCCATCTGCAGAGTGTTGAAAAAGCAGACTTTTTTTTTTCATCAAACTTTTAAAAGGATGCAATGCCCCTGTTCTGTTGTTCACTCTCAAACACACTCCTACATTCACACACACACACACACACACACACACACACACACACACACACACACACACACACTCACTGTTCAAATCCCCTGACTAGCATACAGACAAACTAGTGGTGCAGAGCAGATGAGAAGGCGAGACAAAGACGAGAGGAACGAGAGAAAGGATGGTGTTTAGTTTCCATTATCCACACTCGTGTTGCTCGTAGTGTCACCTTGTTCTCCCCCCCTCCCCCTCCTCCTCCCCGCTCTCACTTTATCTGCGCTGAGAGAATGTGTGCAAAACGACAACATCCGTCTGCACGTTATGCCATCTCCTAAATTGAATATTTCTCTTTCTTTCTTTTTCTTTTTTTCCTACAGCATGAATATTTTCACTTCCCTCGCCCGACTGAAAATAGCAGCCGAAAAAATCCAGGGAGGCAACAGCAGGAAGTGGTGTGATTTATGGGGAGAGTAACCATGCATGTGACACCGTGGCCTAGTTGAGACTCAATAGACTTATATATGTGTGTGTGTGTGTGTGTGTGTGTGTGTGTGTGTGTGTGAGTGATGAAAGAACAGAAAGTCAGTAAAGTGAGTCTCATACTAAGAGCCTGATGGTTTGTGTGTTTAAATATTTAGACGCCCTTGATGTCACAGAGAAAAAGGTCAATGAGATCTTAAAAAGATTTTTGGAGTTTGCAGCTTTCAGATAAAGGGTGAGTCCTCTCGGAAGCTGCAACCACGACGGGATGCTTTCTTGAACAACAACAACAACAACAACAACAACAACAACAACAACAACAACATTGCTTTTTTCCTGAGTTTATGGTTATGAAAGAAAATAATTCAACTTTCTGCACCTCGATTGAATCAACTCCAAAAAAAAAATAACAATAGTTTTTCTGTCAATGAGTAATAAATGCTTTCAAATGAGAACAGTGACTCAGATTGTGTTTATAACATCCATCTGATCTGATGGTCAGGTGCAGGTGACCCGTCTGTAGACGGTCCACATGCAGGACCCCTAACACCTGCACTGTTTCCCTCTATCCGAGGGGTAGAGCTGGCTGGATGTTTGGGTTTAGCTCCTAGCAGGATCAGGTGTTTTCTTCAGCTTGGTGGTGGACACCTTCAGAAGCACCAGTAGCCACGGAGCTTGTGGTGTCATAATCCGCCGGGACCAGGCTACCGGTCTTTTCACTAGACAAGGAACTGGAGGAGCTCAGGACAGCCAGATGTTTAGCCAGAAGGTAGTCTATCAGACCACCTTCTGCAAGTTTCCATCTTTAAAAATCAACCTCCAGGCAGTTTGATTCTTTTACTGCCGTTACTGTTTCATTTGCTGCTTACTCATCTTCAAGCCGCCTCCATGTTTACCTGTGAAGATCTTTTTATTATCAAGTCTCATCAGATGTTAAGTTCTCATCACTCTCACTTCTCTGCTGCTCTTTTATAACCTCAACGTTTTTACACTCACGGTTTTTATTTCTTCATGCTTTGTTTTAGTTTTCTCACCTCCGAAAAAATCCAAGGCAGGTTTGTCTTTCTGTTTGACAGTCAACATTTGATTACTAAAATCCTCTGATCCGCTGACAGATAGGGATGTAACCAGACAGCACAGGGGCAGGTTTTCTGTGAAATGTGATTTAAAAAGGGATAAAAACTTAGATGATAGTCAACGATAGGATGCCATGCATGCCTGCTCCTATAGCTCATCTTCTTAGGTTTACTAAATGGTGCTCCTTCAGCACGAGAGCTCAGGTGCTGATCACTTCTCTAGACAAAATAGGAGTAAACTGTACGGAGGAGGACGCCTTTTAGGTTGTGTTTTCGCTTCATCTGTATCTCCTTCTATCCAACACAGTCTCAGCAGACGTCTGTTCATCATGATTGTGGTTCTGCTTGAGGTTTCTGCCTCCTAAAGGAAGTTTTTCCTCACTACTCCTGATGGATTAATGAACAGCCTTTGTAACATTTTAAAATGATGTGACCTGCTCT